AGTATTTAGTAATGCAAATGGATATCCTTATCATTCAAAAATGATTGCAAATAAAAATCTCAGCAAAAGCAAACCATACAAGTTGAATGAGTAACAGCAAAATAGCTAAAATATGATCATGCATATTTTATGCACGAGCACGTTTTAGCTGTATGCTGTTACTCATTCAACTTGTATGGTTTACAAATAATCTCCACACATTGGAATCTATTATGCTCCATGTATGCATTGCAAGCATACAGAGGAATTTAGGTGCTCTCAATTATGTAATTGTGAAACCAATTACAAAAGTACAGTACATCATTGAGGGAACATGCTTAATGGTCCCTCTGTAAACATTAGTTTCACATGTAGAGCATAATTTACATATGATTTACATACGGTACTTTATAGAATTTAATGAGCTCAATCTAAATTGTATTAATATGTTTTAGTTTTTTTAATATTACTTTTAGCAGATAGATTTATTCGATGTCGTATTTTTCTACTCGATGCTACTAGCATCATTTTCCAGATTGAGAGGTCAATGCTATTTCCTTTGCAATTCTGTACAACTTCAATTTTGTCCTCTGTATTACGGAATTGAAATATGAATGGTTGCTGTTAGAGCGAGGAAAGTTGAGCATTGGAATCAATTCTTTTTAATAATTTGGAACACTGATTAACCCAAATTAATTCTATTTTGAGCTCTTTCCACCTGAACTGCACATTCACTGCATTTTACAGTAAATTATGTGAAGCGCTTTGAGATGTCCTTTTGATGGTGGAATGGTCTTCTCTGTGGAATCCCGTAGCTCAGTGGTTAGAGCACTCGCCTCACAAGTGAGAGTCCTGGGATCGATTCCCAGCAGGGCAAAACTGTGGGCGAGTTTCCTTACACCACACGGCTGATAATAATCCCTCAAGAAAAAAATAATAAATTGGTCACTTCAATTCATGACTGTTTGTGGGACACTGCTGTGTGCAATTGACTGCCGTGTTTCGCCCACAAATGTACAGTCAATTCACTTTACAGTATATTCTGTGAAGCGCTTTGAGACATCTAGAAGACAATGAAAAGTGCTGCATCAAATGCTAGGATTATTAGGATTATTATTTTTATGTTGAAATGCTTGTTTCTAGGTGACCTGATCGAATGCAATAATTACCATTATTATAAACCGATCTAGTTAACTCATTTATACTGCAAAGATTTCATTTAGTTACTTATTCCACTACTATATGTTTGCAAGATCTCTCTCACTTCCTTTCCTAATTTTGAATTTTTACCTTGTGTCTCCTGGTCTTCAAATCTTTGATCAGGTCACATTTCATAGGAATATTTTCAGCCCAGAAGACCATTCCACCCATCACGTCTGTGTCGCCTTCTTCTTAACCCAATTTCCAGCTCTTTCCTCACCTTCCTTAATATTTTATGGCTCAAGTACTTACTAGTTTGCTTTTGAGTGAATTTATTTATCCAATATTCATCCACCTTATTCATCCCTTAGTAGTCACTGATGGTAATGAATTCTATACATTGTTGTACAATGAGTCCTGGAAATGACTTAATTATCCACTGGTCCTTGAAATGTGGCCCCTGTCTCCATACAATAATAGGTACCAAAGCCAGCTGCATTATGTATTACATTCCAACTGCAAAATTGGAGTGCCAATCAGTGGAATTTCAGCAAGAGTGATATTTTATTTTAATTAACCCGGTATCCATTTCAATATACAACTTGGTCAACTTTGAGCCCACCTATCGTGACTAAGTGGGGGAGGATCACATTTCCTGACTAGTCAATAATTAAGACATTGATGAGGAGAAATTGCACTCTGGTCTAGATTTACTCTATTTTTGGAGAATTTTTTGAATACTGCGTTAATTTTGAAGTCTGTTTTCTGTCAAAAGAAAACTGACTTCAAAGTTAAGACTGAATGCAACAATTTGTTAAATTCTGGACCCTCTTGAAATACTACTAAAAATCAATTAATCTGAGTCCGGATAAACACATAGCCCCAAATCACTACCTTCTAAATTGCAGCGCGAACATTGCCATCATTCATGCACCAGGAGATTTTCCCCTGATGTCCTGGCCAACAGTCCCCCAATTAAGATTGGTTATTCACTTCACGGCTGTTTGTCGGACACTAGTGTGCCCAAATTGGCTGTGGCGTTCGCTCACAAAACACTATTTTCCTGTATTACCAGAGACTGGGATTCATTTTCAAACTGAAAAATAACTAATTGCGCAAACATTGTTTTTTTTCTTATAAGATAAAATGTTGCCAGAAGATCTGAGAAATATTTAATTTATTACCAATACTAAAAGTTGTATTTTAGTTGTTTTAAAATCTTTGGTGATTGTGTAAAATGCTTGAATACTACTTTGATTTGTTTTTGCCTAGCAAAGTAATAATAGCTGTGAGATCTTGCTTAAGTAAGAGAATAGAAAAGCTATTTTAAATATCAGTGTTCACATTTTTATGAAAGACTGCTGAATAGAGGCTTCTAAACAAGTTAATTATAACCGTTATAATGAAGTCCATTGATGTGGAAAATTTGGTGAAAAGCATCCTTTACAACCCTCAGGTCAAATATTTAATCCTCAGAGAAACCAGATACTTCAATCTGTCAATCTCAATTATGATGGGTTACTTCAGTTCTTAGCTCAACACTTAGGTGGAGTTCCTTATAACATACCACCAAGGGATTCATAGAATCAAGAAAAATTAGCTTTACCATCTCAACGTGTTACCTAATACATGTCCATTGAAGGTTAATGATATGTCAGTGGCTGTTGAAAATACTGTGTCCAAGCCACACCTATTCTCTTGGCTGTTTGGGTATGAGAATATGAATATGAAAATATCTAAACAAGGACAAATAGGCAACTGTGTAATCTGTCAACAATAATACTGATCCATTAATACTAAGATATTAGTTTTTTTTAGGTACTTATGATATTGCAGCTCTCTCAGAATTATACTACATTAATCCAGCATTTTAGAAAAGACAACAATGATGTTTTAAACTTCACAAAACTGTGGCTTGGGATGTTTTACCAGGCTATATGTACAATTTTCCTCACAGTGAAACAAAGCCTGACATCATTGTATTTCAGATCATGTGATACAATACACATAGAAAACAGAAATACCCAAGTCTACAGTGCAGAAAGAAGCCATTTGGCCCATCGAGTCTACAACGCCTTACAGAGCAAGGAGATCACTTCAAACCCACTGCCCCACCTTAGCCCAAACTCCTTCAAGCCGCTCTCTTTCATATCCCCTGTCTGGCCCGCCCCACATCGACAGTCGGCCTTCAGCCTCTCTGCCCCCACCCTCTGGAACTCCCACATTTCCTTTGCATCTCTCCCTCCCTTGCCTCCTTCAAGGCACGCCTCAAGACCCTCCTTTTTCAACGTGCCTTCAGCCACCCTCCTCCCCAACCCCCCAACTCCTAATCCCTGATTGTTCAGCGCCTTGGGCTGTTCTCCTGACATGAAAGGCTATTTACAAATGTAATTTTGTATTGTATTGTTTATGCCTGTCTACTTCTCTGTTGAAAGCCACAACAGACATCATCTACCATCCTACCCAGCAGGGCATCGTCTATTTGCACCAAATTGCTGTTTTAGTTAAATAGATTGGAATAAGCGTCCTCTACATTTGACCTGTGCACAGTGTGCAGTATAATGCAAAGTGGAGTACGTTCCAAGGATGTAACACATCTTGGGGTGAGATTACAGTCATGAACCGCTCGACTATTGCTCTCGTGGTTTATGATGTTATCTCAACCTTTTTGTGTTGCTACCATGTAAATTGTTAAAGGCACCTGGAGGTCGTCATAAATTACAACTCAAGCTCTGATGAGTGTCAACTGTCATCAATTGTCATCGAACATGCCACTAAATGTTATTGTATTTGGTATAATTTTCTCATTGGAATGTTACAGTCAAATCAATTTTTGCCATTCACTCTTCAACATAGGCAATAAGGCCACTGTTTCTTTTTGATTTGTCCATTATGTTACAGGAACCTTAGGGGAATTACATACGACTTATAATACTAGTGCAATATTGTAACATCCTCTGCTGATAGTTGTACAACAATATACTGTTTTATATGTAAAACTCCTGTATATTATTATTATTAGTCCTGTTGTGCACTTTTTCATTTCAGTTCCCCTGATAAATGTCACTAAATCTGTATAAAAATCAATTGTCTTTCTTAGTAAAACAATCTATTATAGCAGGAAAAATTAAGTCATTTATTGCACATTAATATATACAAGTTGCAAAAGGTGTCAATCTGACTCAGTCGGTATCACTCTCGCCTTTGAATTGTGGGTTGTCAGAACTCATATAGTCTATGCTGACACGTCATTGAAGTGCTGGTGGTTTGCTGCATTGTTGGAGGTGCCATACTTCAGATAAGAAATGAAACTGAGATCTGCTTCGCCTGTTCAGGTGTCCATAAAAGATCCCATAGCAATATTTAAAATATAAGGAAGTTTCTCTTGATATCCTAGCCAAGATTCCCCCAAATTGGTTATTCACTTCATCACTGTTAGTGGAACATTGTCATGTGCTAACTGGCTCCCACATTTGCCTTCAGAATACATAGCAACTTCACTTTGCAGTATATCCAGCAAAGCCTTTTCAAACATTCTCTTAGCATTAAAGGCTTGATATCAAATGCAAGGATTATATTATTATAAAATAGGATATACATTAAGGAAATTCAGTATAGAGGAAATTTAAGCTCAGAGGGTTTGTATAAATCCATTAAAATAAAACATACAATTATAATCTTTTATAGACATATGTTCATTCTTATTTACTTCTGACCATAATCATATTTTACCTGAATGATTCTTAACTATCTACTATTTTGTGGGTTAAAATAAGAAATGTGTTAATTATAGCACTTGTGGTGATTAGCCAACAAGCACCATGTGTCAGTTGGTAAATAACATTTATTTCTTATTCTTCATTCTGTTGTCTCCTATTTAGTATCTGCATGAAAATGGAATTGTTCATCGTGATCTCAAACCAGAGAATCTTCTGTATGCCACTCCTACACCAGATGCACTGTTAAAAATAGGTATGTCGTGTAAACATTTTCTGCGAATTGAGGAGACTGATGGCATTAAATCAAAAAAAGACTATCTGCTTTTCCTTCTTGCATATAGCTTACATTTTAGCAGATAATTGATGTGCAGCTTATGGTATAATCAAATCCATCTATTTATAGTTAATAAAGAAGCATTATGTGCATTATTCAAAAAAGTGAAAAAGTAACATGATTCACTTTAAATAGATCTTTATAGACCAGGGTGGGAGTTGTTATAATTTTAAAAACTAAATTAGCACTGCTCGCTGCTAAGTCATGAATAATTGTTGAAACTCAATATTTTGTTCTGACACAAGCCGGAAGTGATGCAGCGCTTTGTAATTTGAGAATAGATGATCTGATGCATTTACTCTAGTAATTGCAGAGGCAGACGAAAGCTTCCATAGCAAACACCTATAAAATAATTTGGAAGGAATGGTAGCTGACATTTTAGCATCTCAGAGTGAAAACCCAATTTCTTTCATTTTCATAAAAACAAGCCATTTTAAAATTTCCAGTAAATTTCAACCTTGTGATTTTTTTTAATGCAAAGGGATGTGTTTTGTTAGCATGTGAATTAGTGATTTATATTATAAATTACTGCTTTCTATCTGCCCCACTGCAGAAACAATATTTTTTGGGAAGTGTGTTTACCAAATGAAGACAAAACCAAATTTCAAGATGTTTCACTTTTGTGAATTCCTTGACCATTTCTTATATGATGATTAAACTTAGTGGTTCTGTATCTATGACAACTGTTTTTCCATTCGGCCGCTCAAATTCAGATTATTCACTCAATGGGCATTCTGGCATCCTTGAGAGAGAAGAATGCCATCCTTGACTAGATGATCTCCGGAGGGGAATGCAAGAAACTCCCTATAGTGATCATGCTAGGAGTGATATTAATGGCCTTTGTAACAATCTGATTGAGATAGTCCACTCCTCCCGGTTTATTATGCAAGTTAGTAGGAAAGCAGTGGGATAGTTTCAGAGAGAAAATAGGAAAAAATAGTGCAAAGTGTTTTTCAGTTTAGAAATTATGAATTTGTGCACTGGCACAATATTATTTTCTCAGTAATACATTTCATATTAGTTCTATTCAACTCACTGTTTTTGATCGCCACCATTAATCCTTCACTTTGAATAACCTTGTGCATAAGCAACACTGGCACATTCAATATTGTGTCCTCACTGTTGGCCCAAAAGTGCATGAAATACTAAATTAAACCACCCAGAACAATGACAATATATGTTGTAAAGGAATAGGTTATATCCTTTTACTTCAAAGCTGTTCAAACTAATCTTGAGACTCAGATGATGGTGATTATAAGATACTCTGTCTTCATTTAAACCTCTCAATTACAATATTGCTTTGAATCACTCCTAGGTCACATTGCTCTAGGTTTTGCAGTTTGTAATTTAAACTGATCAATATTTTAATTATAAGAATTAATTCTTTATCAAGTTCAGAAAGTGCCTTGTTAATCTTCACAAAATTATTTTTAGCAGGCAGATTAAACCTTAGGTAGTGCGGAAGAGTTGCTTTGAGTTCAGTGCCCAACATATGTCCCCACTGAAACCAGGCAAAACTCATTGCACATAAAATTGACAAATTTATAAAACACAAAATAATGCAGATGCTGGAAATCTGAAACAAAAACAGAAGTCGCTGGTAACACTCAGCAGGTCAGGCAGCCTTTATGGAGAAAGGAAAGTAAGTCAACATTTCGGGGCCAATATCCTTTGTCAGAACTTGGGTATGTTGGGAGAGAGAGGCTTTTAAGAGCTAACAGAGAGGGGGGAGGCAGGACAAAGGGGAAAATGAGGTAGAGGACAGGGGATGATGGGTTAAACAAATATGTCAGACAGCACTTATACAACCCTGTTACTACCCCGGTGTGAAGCCTGTAAATTGATCAAAAGCATTCCAGCTGCTCATCCTTCAGAAATGTTTCAAAATCAGTTTCATAATAAATATAATAATAATAGTTCTTGTATTTGATATAGCACTTCATCACACCGTTGAGACATCTCAAAGCACTTCTCAGAATACACTGGAAAGTGGAGTGAATGTAGTTTGTTGATGAGACGCGGCAGCCAATTGCGAAGCAGTATGCAACTAACAGTCGTGGATTGAGTTACCAAATTTTTTTGGGGGGAAGGATTATTACCCCCGTAAAGCAATCCGCCAATCGACCAACAACCGGGTTGCTACTCACTAGGTAAACAGAGGTGTGTGAAGTAAGGAACTTGCCTTAGGTTTTGCCCTGCCTGGGAATCGAACCCGGGCTGTCCCTCTCGCTTACAAGTCGAGCGAGCTATCCGCTATACTACAGAACTCCACTGTAGGTTTCAAGATGGTTCCATCGTGATTTGGGGTGGAAAATAGTCATCCCAGGCCAACCCAACCTCACCCTGCTCTCCCAATCCAGCAAGATGTTACCTTACAGACGAATACAGCTTAATTTAATGTTTAAGAAACAAATGCGGCATAAGTACCACAAGTATAAGGACTATTGAATCAAAAACTATTTTTATTTCTTTTTAGCTGATTTTGGTCTTTCCAAAATTATGGATGAACAAGTGACCATGAAGACGGTATGTGGAACTCCAGGATATTGTGGTAGGTTTCCTCCTGGTTAAATATTTGTTTTCAGGCATGATTTCACCCCCTGTAAGATGGGAGTTAAGTATTTGTACAATTCAGACTCAATGTGGAGAACTTCCTTAGATCACATGAAAAGATATTTCAAACCAATCCCTTAATGGAGTAGTAAGGAAATGATGCAAGACCCACTAGACAAGGCTTAAATAGATGGGCTGTTTCCATTTATTGGTCAATCCAAAATGAGGGGGCATAAATATAAGATAAATAGTAGTAGATCTTCATGCAGAATGAGAATGTGGAACTCGCTGTCGGAAGTTGTGGTTGAAGCAGAAAGCATCATTGTATTCAAGAGGAAACGATGCAGATATAATGGAGAAGGGAATACAGAGGTATGAGTAGAGAGTCAGACTAGTTGAGCTGAATGGCCTGTTTTCTTGCTGAATCATTCGATGCAATTCTATGTAACTAGATTTACCAGAAGAATTAATGCCTCAGTACATAATAATAATAATTTCAGTGACCTTACACATTTTCCACAAATGTGAAATTTGGAAAATGGTGGGGTACACACAACAATTGTTCCACCATTTATATGATAAAGTGGTATATCGTAGCCAGAGCAACATATGGGAGTTTGTGAATATATATTAGAATCTGAACATCTGGCAAAGATATAGCAGCTGTGTACTTGTAACCATGGAAACAAGAGAATTTGACAAATGCTAGGATACTGCAGAATGCAAAGACCAGATTATACACGATTTGTTCCCTTTTGGAACATACATTTTTTTGAAGTCCAATACAGATATTAAATTTCTTGCTGTAGCCAGCTTTTGGTCAATTTAGGGGTTTTATTCAATTTTAGACACTCTAGGAGTTACCTAATGGACGCACTCTCTCATACCATTCAGGGACATTAAGTTTGAGTTCTGTTTGTGCACTGAAAAATTGCTGCTGCTTCTACATTTTTCTGATCTTCTTGCCTTCCTCTGTGGTTTGTGAGCTTTCATACAGCAGCTTAAGCTCTCTAAGCTATCACCAGTCCATAATCGACTCATATTCCTGGCTAAAGAAAATATTATTAGGCTTCAGTGGAAATGTTTGAGAAAGTATAAAAAACAAAGTTTTATAATGTGTACCAAGCATGCAATTCCCTCATAATTTTGCTTCAGAAATTCAAAATGATTTTTTTATAATAAGTAGTAATAATAATAATAATAATAATAATCCTTGCATTTGATATAGCGCTTTTCACGTCGGGAGGACGTCCCAAAGCGCTTCACAGAACACACTGTAAAGTGAACTGACTGTATATTTGTGGGCGAACGCGGCAGCCAATTGCACACAGCAATGTCCCACAAACAGTCGTAGATTGAAAATGACCAATTTATTATTGTTTTTGGTTTTGGAGGGATTATTATTATAGTAGTCTGGACAATGATTGTTCCATGTCCTGGACATTTGTTTTCTGATTTGCCACTACGTACATCACTAACAACATGCTAAGAAAAGCAGGGAAATTGTGACATTGCTAATATTTTGGGAAATGATCTTGGTACAGTTGAAGATTGAGGACCTATTTTATTTTGGATTTGAAATTCACAAAAAAGTTGTTTGTTTCAGTCAGGAGCCAATTAGTCATTTCTGGTTGTAATGGTGTGAAGTGGCGAGGAATTTACAGAAGTGTGATTTACAATAAGATTGCTTGCCCGGAACACATTTCTTGCAGCAGTTCCTGGCCCCTGCTGGTTTCTGCAACAGTTTTCTTGCAGCTAATTCATCAAAAGGTTCAGGATGACTTCTAATAACATTATTATAATGTAGAAATACATCTATTCAAACCAGCACAGCAATACGTGAAGCTCCCAGTGCTGTTGATATGCCTTGGGGTGGATTCTACATCAACCTCAGCAACAATCATATGCATATAAGAAAACTCCATGGCTAGCATGTTCAGACTGAGGGTTGTGCACTGCTAAAACAAAAAACAATGGCAGACTATCAGCCATTTAACTCCAGTTGCCTGCTTTATCCTATACACGTGCTCTATGTTCTAAAATGAGTGTGTGTTTAATAATGACCTCCCCTTCAGCTTTGTATTGTACAAGACATACCTCACCACTAACTGCCCCACACTTGCTGCAGGGAGTACAGAGATGGGGAAACATTCCCACATATTTTAGTCGTGCCTGTGGGCTCAGTAGTTCTGGTCTAGGGATTTTCTTAAAATCATCCTATTACAGGGGCTACAATAGAACCCAATCTATTAAGGTGTATGCTCTGGGTCTCTGTAAAGTTACAGATGGACCCTTGGCTGTTTCATTGATCTCCTGTTGTTTGCAGCCCACCAGTGTTTTTAGTGTTCAGGCTCCAGTTAGCAATGTTTCCACTGTCCATCTGCGAAAAACAACTAAGGAAATAATATGTTAGAAAAATATTGCTTTCTTTCTGTGGGATTCATCACAACCAAGTTTCCCCTTCCTCTATTTCTATGTGAGACAGCGGCCCTTGAGAGATTGGCTTCTATCAAAGGCGCTGGAAGCAATGTGAGGTTGATCCCGAAGTTAAAGGAATGAGCCATGAGCAATGATTAGACAAGCCAGGGCTCTTCAGGCTTGAAAAGACATGTCTCAGAGTGTAGCTTATAGAGTTATTCAAGATTTTACGTGGAATTGAGAAAGTAAACCCAGAACAATACTTTTGGATGCACCAAGACAGGAAAACGAGAGGACACAGGTTTAGGATTGCAAACGGGAATTTCAGGTCAGACACTAGGAGGGTAGTGCCCAGAGGGTAATTAATGACTAGAAGATGGGTGAGACCTGGACTCATTTAAAAAAATTGTGATGGGAAGCTCATAGGGTGGGCAATCTGGAAGGTTGAGATCAAATGGGCTTAATGACTTTCTTTATCCAAACCTCTTTTGTGATCTTGTGAACTGATGGTCTGTTTCTGTTGCCACCCAAAGACTATTAGAAACACATAAACTTTGGTTGTTCTGTGCTGATCTTAGTCTCTAAACCACATGTTTGTGTGAAATGTATCTCTATCTCCACATGCTGCTCAGGACCCAAGTTTTCCACATCTCTATGTCTTATTTTTTTAAAACTTATTTTTTGTTTTCACTCTTCCCTTCATTCTCTTTTTTCTGATTTCTCAGTTTTTTAATTATTCTTGTTAATTTGAAAGTACTATAACAATTAAAAAATAATTGGATTCCTTTTTTGTTCAGTGCCTTGGGACGTCCTCCTGACATGAAAGGCGCTATACAAATGTAATCTTGTTATTGTTGTTCCAATGAATTCTGTGCCTGTGAATTCTGTCCGATACCTCTCTCCGAAAACCGCTGAAACCCTGTTCCATGCCTTTGTCAACTCTCGGCTGGAATATTCTAATGCCCTCCTCGCCGGCCTCCCATCCACTACCATCCATAAAATCCAGATTATTCAAACCTCTGCCGCCTGCATTCTCACCCATATGAAACTCCGCTCCCCGATCACCCCAGTCCTTGCCAGACTGCACTGGCTGCCTGTCCCAGAGAGGATCAACTTCAAAATCCTCACCCTTGTCTTCAAATCCCTCCACTCCTCTGCATCCCACTCCCTCTCTGACTTCTCTCCTCAAAACAATACCCGTTGCCTTCATTCCTCTGGGTCTGGCCTCCTCCTTGTCCCCAAAGTTCTCCGCTCCACCCTTGGCGGCCGTGCCTTCAGCCACTATGCCCCAAAGCTCTGGAACTCCTTTCCTCACTCCCTTCGCCTTGGCCCTCTCTTCCGATTTTCAGGTCTCTGCTGAAGACCTTTCTTTTCCACCGCGCCTTTGGTCACCTTCTTCCCCCTCCCCCTGGCTCGGCCCTGGGATCCGTTACTGTGAAGCGCTGTGAGAAGCCATCCGGCGTGGAGGGCGCTATATAAATTCAAATTGTTGTTGTTGAATTGGCTTCAACCAATCAAAGTTACTTGTGTTACAAACTGGCCACAGTGTTTGCCTATATAAGAACATTCATTACTGATCTTTTATTATCAGTTGATTAATACAATACAAAATGACATTTGTAAAGTGCCTTTCTCTGTTCTACCAAAAGGATGTTAACAAAAGAGCATAGTTTATATAAGCCAATATTTTCTTCTGCCACAAATGTGAAGAAATTTGTAGCACCCAGAAGCATTGGAGGACAATTATTATTTTAAACAAAGCTCTTCACCATCCATTACTGCCTGACAATATAATTATTCTCTCCTGGTTTACTCTGATCAACCCTAAAGTATTAAATGCATTTGAAATAGAAAGTGCTTCATTCCAGAGTAATGTAGTAACACATTCTCGTATCTAGGCGACAGAGTGAGCAGAATATTTAACACTTTACAACCCTGAACTTACTTTCAGATGTTTCCTTTAATTTGGTCTGAAACTGTGCAGCCGTCAAGTACGAGAGGATTAAATGCAACCTTCTATCCTATTAAGAATTTATTTAAAAAATGTGCAAAACTAAGCTAATGAAGAACCCACAATAAAAACACAAATAAGTGATGAGTCATTCATTATGTTAATGAATACATAATTGAAGCAGCTTTATAAATGTTAAGCAATAGCCGTTATTCAATTTTTATCTCGGGTTGAAAGCTATTAATTGTTGAGTGATTACATGGAGCATCCAGAGAGTAAGGAGCTCCAAGAGGCAATGAGAAGAAAACTGTCTGTCTGTCCAAGCAGGGCAAGGTGCAGATGTTTACTTTGAGGGAAGGGAATTTTAACCAGGCTTATATTTATTAATTACATTTATAAGACAGACATTTTTTCTTATTCAACTTTCAAATTGGGATACGTTCTCACCAGAGGTACAATTCTGAGACCTAAAATTGCTATCTTAAACATGTAACTTTCCGATGAGCATTACATTGTTTCCACAACAGAGAAGAGATACCCATACTTACTAACCCAAACTTAAGATACTTTTTATATCAAGGGGAGATGAGCATTGTTTTCCAAAGATTTCTAGTTATGTTGCTAAAGCATTGATATGGTGTCTTGGGCAAAAGCATTATTAGTTTTTACAAGGAAGGCCTACTAAATAAGCTAAGGTAATGTTACAGTCTTTAGTACAGTGAAAAATGTTTCTGTGAGCTCAATAATGTTGAGCTATCCAGATATCCTCGATGCCCTTCAGAGACTTGGAGCAAAAAAATCAGCCCTGGTTTCTCACAAATTTTAAGCCAAAAATTATTTTGTGCAGAACTTTTTCTCACCTGTCCCTTTTTTATCTAGTTATGCTTGTCAATCAGTGGTGTAAATAAATTATGATATACCTTTTTCAAATCTGATCAGCAATGTTTGGTCAAAAATATCCCTCCAGAATCAGGCAAATACATACAAGTACTACAACTTAAAGTAATTTAATAATTGTATTTATTTTCTCTACCTATTGTACCGATAAACTACATTTTCTTTTCAAAGTTTCTTTTATTTTAGGTTTGCTTCAAAGGCACATTTTTATTGGAATGTTAATGTGCACTTTCGAAGAAACACCGTTTCTATTTTCAGATCACGTTGTGTTTATTGCCTTTTTTGATATTACTTTGAATATCAGAACTGTTATGTGGCCTGCCAGAACTTGTTCTAACTTGGATGTTTCTGAAAGTGTTTCCTTTTTAACTAATTTTATCTCTACAACTTCCTGGTTTCTGCTGTGTGCTTGCACCTGGCTGATGTAGTGGTCACATGTTAAACTCTATCTTTGATATTCTTAGGCTAGACACAGTTTCTGCTTAGACATTTTAATCACTTAACACTGTTTATTTAAGGGGCTTTCCGAAATAGACTTGTTTTTTATTCATGTGTTTAGTTTTTCATATTGAACATTTTCTGAAATTGTACAAAATCTGGTACTGTACATTATACTTCATGTTATTTCATAGTTTGGTGCAATATGTATATAGCTTGTTTGGTGCTTACTCCTCCTGGTTTTTGGAGAGCCCTTGGGTAGTTTACTGAATTGTGTAAGATTTTTGAAAGTTTGTTTTTAATGTTGTTAGGAGTTTGTTGAGCAACTATCTCATTGATAACGCCAAAAATTTAAACTCCTGATTCTGGAGATCTTCCTGGAAAGTGGGTTTGCTATTTTTGTTAGCATCCCTCCGTTTGTTCACCTACAAAATGCACAGTCACTACACTTACAGTAAAACCAGTGAGGCAATTTGAGACTTACTCTGGTCGTGAAAGCCACTGTATCAAATTGCATGGATGAATATTATTGTATACGGAGAGGAGCGTATAGTTAGACTTCACATCACTGTTACTGTGAATAAAGCAGCTTCACCTCAGCATTACAATAATACTAATCATTACATTTGATAGAGTGCCTTTCATGTTTGGAGGTTGTCTCAAAACACTTCACAGGATATATTGCTAAAACAGTAATAAATAATAAAATGGATTAATCGTGTATCTTGTGGGAAAGTTATGTATAGTATTAGAGTACAGCCGGGATCTGAATATCAGTGGTGCAACTCGTTAAATGGGCGGAACAAACAATCCTTACTTTCCATCTTAGATTATTCATTGATCAATACACAGCTATCTGCTTATCAAGTGCTAGTGAAAGCAGTGGAGCATTGGATTTCCATTCAGAGGAGCCTGTATTCAAACCTACACATTGGTTAATGTTAAACTCAACCACTTTCTTTGCATACATTTTGCCAATTGTTAGCCAGATGGCTATGTGCTCTGTAGGTTGAGCTTCTAAACAGAAGCCATGTGCTCTAAAATTATAGGAGTTTCCCTGCCTCTTACTGGTTCATTCTTCACACACAGATTAGACGATCTTAAATTGTCATAAAACACTTTTCCCTTCCAGCCAGAGGATTGGTCTCACTGTCAGTGAAATTGTGCATTGACACTGATTGAACTATCTATATTAGCTGAAGGTGCACCAAAACACATCGACTAAAATATGAAGGGAAAATTATAAACAGAATCCATGTGAAGTGCTCAGTTGCCAACTCAGTAACACCTAACGAGTGCGTAAATTATTTATTTTTTATTTAAAGAGCATAAAACATGCATGAAGGTACAAGTGCATTTATAAAATGAGGGCCACAGGTTTGAATATTATCAACAGCTGCAGATTACGTTTGTGAAATATTTACAATTCCACCAAAAATAGAATTTGTTCAGTTTTAAATTGTCAAAAAAAATTGTTACAATTTCAACAAAGCTAAGTTTCAGGTAGAAATTCATTATATTTTTCAAAAGCAAGAATTCAAGAATCTGATGAAAAAGTACTTTAGGTTTTGTTGGGAAAGGGAATTAAAATGAAAATAATTTACCATTGGTCTCCTGTTACTATTGATACCAGATATGTCTGGCACAATATAAGCATGCTATCTGTTTGCATTGCAAGATATATTTACACACCATTACTGTACCTATTTTGATCCCTTGCTCAACACTGGGTTTTGCTCCTTAATCCCAGAAATCCAACGTCCGGGCCAGATGGTTTTGAAAACTTATCAGCTCATACACTGACCCTGAAAGGAGCAGTAATAAAATGATTGAAATGTCAGAATGATTTAAGAGAACCACATACAACTAAAGCAAACAAGATTTTAATTGAAAATGCAAATGGTAAACAAAGCCATTAATCCTTATTTCCCCATTCTAGTTTCACACTTTTTATCTGTCAAATTGTTTAACTGTATTTTAAAATGTTGCTTCAAACATGAAGGACAAGTTGTTGTTGTACTTCCCACCCTTTCTAACCTTCAGTTTCCATTATCTTTAAAATGGTTTACTTACTTAGTTTTGACTTTCTCTTGGGTTTTTATCAGCCTCGTTGGAGACGGCAGCAAGTTTTTAAAAATGTTTTTGTTGGCTGTAATCCATCTTGCTTGCCCACACCACATTCTAAAATGCTTTGATAAGGTTAACATAAATAGGTTATAAAATAATAATAATAATCCTTGATTTTGATATCGCGCCTTATCATGTTTTCTGGACATCTCAAAGTGCTTCACAGACTAAACTATAAAGTGAATTGACTGTATATTCTGTGTGCGAACCTCAGCAGCCAATTGTGCACAGCAGTGTCTCACAAATAGTAGTGGATTGAATGACCAATTTAATCTGCCAATTGACTAACTGTCCAATTAATCCTCCAGTGATCCACCAATTGACTAACCACCGTGTTCCTACTTACTGCTAGGTAAACAGAGGAGTGTGAGTAAGGAAACTTGCCCAACTTTTCGCTCTGCCTGGAATCGAACCCATGTCCTCTTGCTTACAAGGCGAGCGCTCTAACCACTAAACTACAGGACTCTACTATAGCTTACTTCCGCTAGTTGGAGGGCCCAGAAGTAACTAGAGGATCTAAAAGAGAATTTAGGAGAAACTACTTCACGCAGAGGATTGTAAGATTGTGGAACTCACTGCCTGAAGTGGCGTTTGAATTATTTAGTATAGAAGCATTCAAAAGGAAGCTAGACTTTCACATGAGGCAGAGGAGAATGGAAGGGAATGGGAGGTAGTAAGGAAAGGAAAGGGTGAAAACTCCCGCTCTCACCAGGTTTCCTGCGGGGTACCCCAAGGATCCATCCTTGCCCCCCTCCATCTTTGTAATGTGCCCCTTCCCCACTAACTGAAATCCACATGTCAATTATTGACTTGGTTGCACCAGGTTAATTTTTGAACAGATGATGGATTTCCAAGAGAATAAAGAAACAAGGTAAGATCTGCCTCCGTGCCCATAAATATCTATCCCTGGACATATTTCAGAGTGCACTGTAAACAGGTGTACAATGAAATCTGATTTTAATGTCTCTTAAATCAGTGAATTACAATAATTTGGATCCCCTTTGAATGATTTCCAAAATCATCTCAGATAGCACTTCCGTAGGAGAATGCTGTGTTTTGTTTATAACCAATTTTAGCTCAGATGATTATTATTTCACAGCTGCTGATCTTAGCACTGCCTCGTTTTATTTTAACTCTAATCTTTGTTTTCATTCTTTGAATCCCAGCCCCTGAAATTTTACGAGGCTGTGCGTATGGTCCAGAGGTTGACATGTGGTCAGTGGGAGTCATCACCTACATACTGTAAGCATTTTACAGTACATTTTGTGGTTCCTTTTTCATTCTATACTATATTACTTTGTATTGTTAAAGAATAGTAATTGTATGAGCAGACCATTGCAATAACATAACAATATAATATAATGGAACAAGCCTACATTTGTGTTTAATGCAGTACCTAGTATAAATTCAAAACTAATAAGTCACAAGTATCCTGGTTTCTTGAAGTAGTATATGTCAACAACAGGAAGAATGACTGACCTATCCTTATTTCTTTGTCAGACTCTGTGGCTTTGAACCATTCTACGATGAAAGGGGAGATCAATATATGTTTAAGAAGATCTTGAACTCTGACTATGACTTTGTCTCCCCCTGGTGGGATGATGTTTCTCTTAATGCAAAGGATTTGGTAAGTGGGACAATGGGATCTGTCCTTCTGCACTATACAGCCATGTAATACAGGTAGTTCTACCCAACAAATGCAGAAACTCATGTTTATATTCTGTTTATATATAAGAACATAAGAATTAGGAGCAGGCGTAGGCCATTCGGCCCCTCGAGCCTGCCCCGCCATTCGATAAGATCTTCTGACCTAACTCTAATTACTTGCCCTATCCCCATGTCCCCTAATCCCTCTATTTTTTAAAAATCTCATCAGTGTCAGCCTTGAAGATGTTCAAGGACTAAGTATCTACAGCCCTCTGAGTGAAGAAATGTTTCCTCAACTCTGTTCCAAAAGGCTGACCCTTAATTTTAAGACTGTGACCCCTGGTTATAGATTCTCCTACCAGGGGAAACAGACCCTCAGTGTCTACTTTATCCAGCCCTTTAAGAATATTATATGTTTCAATAAGATCTCCACTAATTCTTCTGTACTCTAGAGAATATAGCCCTAGTTTATTCAGCCTATCCTCATAGGTCAGTCCCCTCATCCCAGGAACTAACCGAGTGAATCTATGCTGCACCCCCTCTCGGGCAAGTATGTCCTTTTTTAAATAAGGAGACCAAAACTGCACACAATACTCTAGGTGTGGTCTCACCAAAGCCCTATACAGTTGCAGCAAGACTTCCCTACTCTTGTACTCTAAACCTTTTGCAATGAACGCTAACATGCCGTTCGCCTTCTTAGTTGCTTGCTGCACCTGCAAACTAACTTTTTGAGACTGGTGTACAAGGACACCCAAATCCCTCTGCACACTAACACTATCTAATCTCTCCCCCTCTAGAAAATAATCTATTTTTCTATTTTTTCTACCAAGGTGAATAACTTCACACTTCCCCACATTAAATTCCATCTGCCACCTACTCGCCCACTCCCCGAGCCTATCTATATCCCATTGCAATCTTTTTGCATCATCCTCAGAGCTTACTCTCCCACCTAGTTTAGTGTCATCCGCGAATTTAGATACGTTACATTCAATGTCCTCGTCCAGATCATTGATGTAAATTGTAAATAGCTGAGGCCCAAGCACTGATCCTTGTGGCACTCCACTAGTCACATCCTGCCAATTCGAGAATGACCTATTTATTCCTACTCTCTGTTTTCTACCCGTTAGCCACTCTTCAATCCATGCTAATATGTTCCCATTAATCCCGTGGGCCTTAACCTTGTGCAATAGCCTGCAATATATATGTTTATATATTATATACAGTTGATGGCATCCAACTATCAATTTTTTGCACTTAGCTTAATAGTTTTTCCAATTTGGGTTTCTGCTGGTTTCTTGTGACTCACACGCTCCTGATACCATAAGAAATATAGTAGAACCCCCTCCAACGCGGCTTTGATTATAGCATGATTGGAATGTGGCCATAACATTTACTTTCCCCCAGAAATCCACGTGCCGGCTACATCGATGCTTCAGACATCTATCCAGAAGTCGGTCATTTTTTTCTTTCCAAGCACCTTTCTGCGCAAATGTACAATGAGTGTGGAGATGCTGACTGCCGATCGCATCCTGTTATAACCCTCTTGGGATTTTATGGACCTGAACTGCCGCATTATATTGGGCTGCACTGCACTAATAAGTGTGTACTAATACATATGCAGCTTGATCAAGACATTACTGCATTGTGTTTAACGTAAGGTGTATACAGCTAGCAACTCTGACACTACTTGACTAGACTATTATAACTGTACCACGTTAATGTATTTATTATCTATTTATTATAAATGTGCCTGAACCTGTTTTTTGATAAACAAAATAATTGGTGTTTAGACCTGTTTTTAGCTGATCAGATTCAATTTTTGGTCAAAAAGTAGGTTGAACAATTGAGCTATTTAATTATTAATATATTTATGCACATTTCAGCAAACCAGTTTGGGATAAATCTTGTTTTGCAAATTATTGTCTCAGTCGAGGGAGTCTAGAATTTTACTGTAACTATTTGGAGTCTAATGATTAAACCATTGAAAGCTATTTGACATAACATGCTTAATATAATATAACATGGCTAATATGTATGTTTGAAATCAGGGTCCCCTAATGGAAATCCATCATTGTGTAAATGGCTGCTAATTACCATCACCAACATTCATCTTTATTTTGTGATATAAGGAAATAATAGAACAGAGAATATTTCCTGCCAATACAGTCTCAGAAAGTGCATTCTAGATAGACCTTGTGGAAAATGACTGAAGAAATTGCCATATTTTAAAATAAATTTAAGTCCAGGAATGTAATGAAATCAGAAAATGGTAACTGTTTATCTATAAAATAAACTATTACCCATAAAGTTAATAAATGACCTCAAAAACAACTGCTTCCAGAATTTATGACACACTTTCATTTTTACATAACTCTTAATTAAAATGCCATGACCCTCATCTGCTTATTTGAAACTAATTAGCTACATTGAAGGCTATTGCCCCTTGATGAGGCCATTTCATGTATAACAATTCCTATTATACCTTCTGTACTGTTGCCTCATTTGTCTTCAGCTTCATCTGTTTCCTTATCTCATAAGACGTTTCACAGTGAGGGTTTGCAGATAATTGTGAATAGTAGCTACAAAGCTTGAACTTGAATGATGGATATTGAATAGGTTGAATTACAATTTTTGTATCAGGTCAAAAAGTTGATTCTTTCGGATCCCAAGAAACGTTTAACTACCTATCAGGCTCTACAACATCCCTGGGTAACCGGAAAAGCTACAAATTTCATACACATGGATATCGCACAAAAAAAACTTCAGGAATTCAATGCACGCCGCAAATTAAAGGTAAGAGGCAATAAATCCAAATGATTACATTTTGAATACTTTGACTTCCAACCAGGAAGCTGAGCTGCCAGTATTATTTGATTTTTAACAGATAATAATTTGAAATAGGGGTATTTAGAGGATCCAATAAAAACATTATGGTTCATCAGGACTGTCTCAGATTTAAAACAAATGATTCTCTCTTTGTCACTTCTTTCACCAAATAATGCCAGTCCAATTGGTGAATTTACCAATTATCCACTTGAACTACTGTATTTTATTCTGTACTCCATGTCTTCCCTTGTATGTGCATTATCTTATCAATGTATTTTTGGTGAATTAATGTGGAGTCCTGTAGTGTATTGGTTAGACCACTCGGCTTGGAAGTGAGAGGACCCGTGTTTGATTCCTAGCAGGGCGAAACCTTAGGCAAATTTTCTTACCCCACACGCTTCTGTTTACCTAGCAGTAAGTAGGAACTCAGTTGTTAGTCGATTGGCAGATCGCTTTCCAGGGGTAATAATCCCTTAAAAAGGATAATAATAATTTGGTCACTCAATCCATGACTATTTGTGGGACACACTGATGTACGCAATTGGCTGCTATATTTCGCCCACAAAATATTCAGTCAATTCTCTTTACATTATATTCTGTGAAGCGCTTTGAGACATTTCGATGATGTGATAAGGCACTATATCAAATGCAAGGATTATTATTATTAATTTTATTATTTTTGAAAGAATAAGTTTTCCCCTGTAATAATCCCATAAAAAATCTAATGCAATCTAATTACTTCCTCATTCCCTCAATGAGGAAAGTTTAAAGTCTTCTCTATCGCAAGACTAACTGTAAATTTTATTAGACTGTAGTCACGATTCACACTCTTGTTATAACCTGCTTTATCATTTTGATAAGATCTGATGTCAACTCTTTTCTTGTAGGTGCCCTAATTATTTGGGATCATGTGTCAATCCAGCATTACATCATAAACATTTTTACTTCTTTTATTCTCATTAAAATCCTTCCAATTCATCCCCGATCAACTGAAGTCACAACAATTGGGTTTGATCCTTCACACACACTTGTATCCTTAACTCATTTGGTAGTGCGCTCACCTTTTGAGTCAAAAATTATGGATTCAAGTCTCATGTCAGGATTTTGAGTTCACAGTTGAGCCTAACATGACAGTGTAGTGAGACCTTAAAACAAGGTTCCATCTCTCTGTTAATTACCTTCAGTTACCTATGAGACGCTTTGAAACATTTGGACACTGTAGGCATTATATCAATTGCCAGGATTCTAAAGATTATTCTATTATTCGTTTCTCCAGAAACTAATCTAATTCATTATAAAACTTAAATCTGTGCATTTAATAGTGCTACTTTCAGTTAGTTGTTGTTACATGATTCACAGTATCTAATCCAGTGCACTAACATTACAAGATGTATTTAAGGTGTATTACAGGAATTCTGTGCATTTTAGTGCAGTCGAAATTCGTGATTGACAGGCCTGTATTACATTTTAACATTCTTCATATTACATAAAATTATGCAGAGAATTTAATTTTTTTTGTCTTTCATATTTATAATGCTCATGAATATACTAAAATGTCATGACTAGCAGTAAGTTAATAACCATTTATTATTCAGGCTAGTCAGCATAGGTATAATAATCCTTGCATTTGATATAGCGTCTTATTACCTCTTCGAGACATCTCAAAGCGCTTCGCAGAATATGCTATAAAGTGAATTGACTGTATATTTTGTAGGTGTGGCAGCCAATTGCGCACAGCAGTGTCCCGCAAAAAGTTGTGGATTGAGTGACTAAATTAAAAAATTTTTTGAAGGAATTATTACTGCGGAAACGCGATCCACCAATCGACTAACAACTGGGTTTCTACTTACTGCTGGGTAAACAGAGGCGTGTGTACTAAGGAAACTTGCCCAATGTTTCGGCCTGCCGGGAATCGAACCTTGTGAGGTGACTGCTCTAACCATTAACTACAGGACTCCACCCCATACAGGTATATGGGATGAATTATAGTGTGGCCTTGTACAGTAAGACCTTATATAGTATGGCTGAAAAGAGTGTTACACACATATATTGTGTATAATTTAAATAGTTTATTTCAAGATGCCTTTATCTGGCCGCCACAGAACCAAACTATGAGCCAATTCAGTTAACATGTTGCCATTTCAAATATGATTTGACAAACTTTACTAATGCATTTGCTGACATTCTGATATCAGCTGACAAAATGACAAGTTGCCTTTACATAGCTCCCTTCACGAAGGCCCAATCGGCAATCGGCCCGCAAACCATTTCCGACTTCACTGCTTTACCTCCCAGCTGCGCCTCTCTTATGGTCGGTCTTCATGAGGCAGTGCGGAGAGTGTTAGGAAGCGAGGTGGAGTGGGAGGTATACAGCCCCCCACCAACCCACTCCCCATCGCTGCCTCAAGCCTCGTGCAACTTGGTGAGATACAGCAAGCAACAGCGGCAGGAGGAGTTTGCTATTCTAAAACTATAGAACTATGAGTCTTGGTAAGAAACACAAGGTAGAGATGGAACATAGAGGATCTCAGTGTAAGTGGGAAGTGGATTACTTGTTTATTGAAAGTAATGGAATACCTCAGTGACTTGTTGTCTTGCAAGTCATTCTGTGTTGAAGAAGTTCAGTTTGTTTTGCAATTATGGATTATTCTGTTTGGTTTTGTTGAGCATTCTCTGTAGGGGCTTCCCTATGCTGTTTTCACTTGAATACATTAAAACATTTTATGCATAGATTTCCACTTGAGATGATCAAACGTCAACAAGACGGAAGCCATATCCTTCCTCCCCCATATCCGGTCCCTGACCAGAACCACTTTCCTCCACCTCCGCATCATTGCCCGTCTCCGACAATACCTCACTCCACAAGCTGCCGAAACCCTTATCCATGCCTTTGTCACCTCTCGGCTGGACTGCTCTCACGCCCTCCTCCTCGATCTCCCCTCCTTCAGACTCACAAAATTCAAATCGTTCAAAACTCCGCCGCCCACATTCTCACCTACACTAAACTCTGCACCCCAATTACTCCAGTCCTTGCCAAACTCCACTGGCTCCCTGTCACTGAGCGGATTGATTTCAACATCCTTACTGTAGTGTTTAAATCCCTCCATGCCTTGGCACCCCACTATCTCTCTAACCTCCTCTCCTCATAGCACTACCCACTGCCTCTGCTCTACTGGCTCCGGCGTCCTCCTACAGTCACCTTCCCCCTCCCCCTGGCTCGGCATCAAGCTACGCATTTGTCAAGCGCTCTGAGACGCTGTCCAGTGTGGAGGGCGCTATATAAAAGTTGTTGCAAATTGTTGTTGTTGATCATTATTAAATAATAATCACACAATTTAAAACATAGGATTCTTTCATGTTTCTGGAAGGAAAAAATAAAAATATTGCTTATGTTGCCAGTGGATGTTTCTCAACGGTGGCATCTGGCCCTCGACACCCAAAAGGTTAGACCACCCTGATGTAGGGTAATGACTCAGAGCACTTCACTAAAGTGGGGTTGGGCGCTGAGCCAGAGAGGATTGGAAGGAGGTAGTGACCATAGGTGCGGTCATGTGGGTAGTTTTAAGAGACAGGAAAGAACCACATGGCAAATGCTGAGCATGAGTACACCAGACTGCAGTGAATATATTCAGCTTCACCAAATAAGGTATATAAATCCTGGCTTCTCTGCATGTACTGCCAATCCTCACCAGGCTTGATTGGCTTCCTGTCTCCAACATAATTGTCTTCAAGATCTCACGCTCAGGTATAAATCCCATTACACCCGAGCATCTCCCTATCTCTCAAATTTGCTCATATCCCACTCCTCTGCTTGTCCCCTCAGCTCACCTAACAAAACTCAGCTATGCATCCCTCGCCACCTCTGCACTCCCATCTGTGGCCAACAGTCACTATGTCCCTGACCTCTCTATCTACCTTTAAATCCCACCTTAAAACTTAGCTCATCAACTGTGCCTCTGGTCACCTCTGCCACTATGAAACACTCTGAAATCTTATTCTATGCGAAGTGTTTTGCATGAATGCAAGTTGTTGTTTCTTAAGCAACAGTTGGATGAAAAGAAAAAGTAATCAAGATTCATGTTCAAAGCATCTGACAAAAGACAGGTAGGACAGGAAATCCATCGAGCAGCAAGCTGTCAGATCAGAGGCACATAAAATATTTATATGAGCTTGTCCCAAACATGAAAACTATTTTATAGGTCCAAGCATTATCAAAGGATTTTAGCTCTAGCCAGATCAAAAAAAAATAGGGTAAGAGCAGAAAAATTAAGGAAAAGGTTAGGAGGAAGTTTATCACTTAGAGGGTTGTTAGGATTTTGAATTCATTGCCAAAAGTGGTTATTGAGGCTAGAGCAATGGAATCATTCAAAGGATATTGTATAGACATAAAATAAACTCTCTGGGCCTTGAATTGTCATCAGTCTGAAATCTTTAATGAGTCATTCTGTTCTTTTGGAGGGAGGCAGACCAAAATTTCACATTCTAGAAGTAACTGATACAATGTCAAAATAACTTATTTTTACCTGTAATCAGATGTCTCTGGATGTTTCCAGTACTTGATTTGTTGTGTGGACAACTGCAATGATTAGCTCACACTGAAATATCCATTTTCACTATTTCGAATGGTCCTTCGCAATGTAGACATTTTCCATGTTTCCTGTTCTAATATGTATTTAACTTTCATTTGATATAGTGCTTACTACTTAAAAATGCAGAGATTTCTTTAAAGTGCAGCAACTGTATATTTATATGCCAATAATGCAGTTGATTTCCACGCAGCAATATTCTACAAACATCAATGTTATCTGGGGGTATTGTAGGCCAGCACATTGGGAGAAACTCCCTTAGCCATTTGAATGCAGCCATTGAATCTTTACCTAAACATGCAGGAAGGACTTCAGTTTAATATCTGATCCAAAGGATGGAACCGCTAAAATACAGGACTCTTCCCACCACTGCATTGGAGTGTCTACCAAAAGAGCCAGGTTAACACACTTATTTATTTGTATCAAATTCCATTAAAGTTTGGCCAAGTTCAACCGAATAACCAATGACCTTGCTACCCACAACTTGCATCTCAATAAATCCTCTCCTCCATGTCATTCATAAATAGCAGCAGTCCCACATCTGAGCCCTGTGGAATTACAAACATTAATATTAACCTTCAAATCCCTTTTCATTTATCACCACATTCTAATCTTGATGGACCTAGTTAATGAGTCTATAAACCTTTTAAAGTCTCACTCGTAGGACTTTGTCATGACTTCTAAAAATGGCAATGCCCTCATCTTCTGACTTGATTACTTGCTCAAGAAATTACAATATTGTTATGACATTCTTATTTGTGTGCTCTTTAGAGAATGATACTGTGGTCCAGATTCTGCAACAATTCTTTATCTTTATCTTTCTGCTGTGTCGATTTATGTATCCAGCAAAAACCTAATACTGCTTCAGGATATTCAATATCAATGAAAAAAGATGCAATTTTTTTTCTCTGACAGGCTGCAGTAAAAGCTGTGGTAGCATCATCGCGTCTTGGAAGTACGAGTAGTCATAGCAGTCAGTTAAATGCTAAGCTCGATGAAAATACAAATGCTGTTGGAGAAATAGAGGGGGCCGATCAGGCACAACCGCTGGAGGGTGACACACAGCAACCACTGGAGGGTGACACACAGCAACCACTGGAGGGTGACACACAGCAACCACTGGAGGGTGACACACAGCAACCACTGGAGGGTGACACACAGCAACCACTGGAGGGTGACACACAGCAACCACTAGAGGGTGACACACAGCAACCACTGGGAGGTGAGACACAGCAACCACTGGAGGGCGACACAGAGCAGCCGTCGGAGGGTGACACAGAGCAGCCACCAGGGGATGACACCAATCAGTTGCTAGTGGGCAGTGCAGAGGAGCCAATGGAGGGCAATTCACAACAGGTGATGGAAGACGATGCACAGCAGCCAACAGAGAATAATTCACAGGAGCACAAGAGTTTTGTGGAAGGTTTGGAGCCATCCAAAGGTGATATTCAGGTGACAGACTCATAGGAATTGGAGCAGGTGGAAAACGATCCATTGAAACAGCAAGAAGGATAAGCGTTGTAGTTAATTTTCATAAATATTGTTATGAAGCCTGTTCTTTATTGCGCCAACCCTTTGAAAGGAATGCTATGCGTTAAAGGCCTATGATATGGCTTTGCTTCCATGTGGGTTAATGCTAACTGTTACACTGATGTACAGGCTGATTATAATTCCACTGTCATTTCTGCATGTGAATGCTTCATTAAAACATCAGTGGCCTGAATGCATTACATAATGCTAAAGTTTTTTTAAAAAATGGGCTACCTATTCATATGCTTTCATTAGGATTTTAGTCTGCTAATTTTTTAGTACTTATTGATTTTATATCTAGGTTTGTGTCATCAAATCAATACATTGTTCTTGAAACTAATTATTTTTGTGAATTATTGTTAGGTTTAAATGTTAAGATTTAAAAACTTTTGCTATCATTTTGTGTTGCTGTTTATTCTCCCTAGTTACTTCAGATTGTTTGGGAAGTTTAGGCATTTTAGTGTCTGTCATAAAAGATACAAAATTTAAATACTAAGCAATTCCATTAAGGTATGAAAACAATGCAGCTACATCAGTCATTAACTATCTTGGCAACAGGTTGCAGTAGCTCTGTGATAATAATTGAGAGTTTTTAATATGGTCAAAGTTACTCAACATTTTTAACTATTATTCCAGCAGAAGCCACAGACATTTTATAATGTACACTATTTATTTAGGGGCTTCTGACTCATCAATTGTTCATAATTTTGAAGTGTTTTTGGATGTAAAATATTTCTGATATTTTTCTCTTTGTTCCACGTTGTCAGTCTTTAACATCTGATAAAATTTAACAGATTTAACAGCTGCAATGTATTGACACTGCAAAATGTGTCATAAATGTTCTGCATGGGAAACCCAATAGCACAGCAAGGCTGTCTTCAGATTATATTGTTGTATATGGAACAATCCACTGCACGTTGTGTGGAACGATGCTTTGAAACATCTAAACATTTTTGAAAAATCCTGGCATGCTGACAAGGTACTGATACAATAAAAAAATTTAACTAAATGAAGACTCTGTTTTTGCAACCAAATTCCAATTTCACCAATAATAGTTTTGAACATTTTGAATTGTGATCATGAATTTCAGTGATAATTAAATAAAATATGCACCGAGCATGTCAGAACATGCGTTTTATTATATCGTAGATTAAATGTCAAAAAATGCTTTCAAACCAGTCTTATTGCAATATGACAAAAGGCAAAGTACTGCAGGTGCAGGAAATCTGGTACAAACATGGGAACACGCAGCATGTCAGGCAGCATCCATGGAGAGAGGAAAATGATTTAACGTTACAAGTCTGACGAAAGGTCATAGACCTGAAACGTTAACTCATTTTCCTCTCTCCGTGGATGCTGCCTGACCTGCTGCGTGTTCCCAGCGACTTCTGTGTTTATTGCAATGTGACTGATTTATTTGTGATCCCATGCCTAATTCAAAGCAACTCAAATTTAGAATTCTGTGCGTTGAGACTGCCACAACTGCTGAAACATCATTAGGTACTGCAACAGAGGAAGCAGTTCTGAGGCCACATTATAGTCTTAAACATTTGAGAAAAATCATAAATGCCTACATTTTTCATTAGAAATTAGTTCACAGTTATGTCAAGTGATTTTATTGTTGAGAAAAACAGCTACACATTTTCAATATGTCAAGGATATATTACAAATCCATCATATATTTCCTAGTATAACACTTTTTTTAAACATTTTTTGAAAATCTGATTTTGTCATAACCTTGGGATCCTCATTATTCTCTTTGGTGACAATTATGAAAACAAATATGTGAAATGAACAAGTTACAATATATAAAGGTCACATTTTTACCATTGAGAAATGTTAAGACTAAAACAATAGAAATCTAATATTCCTACTCCTGATTCATATCCAAACAACCTGCTAGAGGGTGCAGCCTCTTTCTGTGCTGTAAGATTCTATGAAATTAGAGCATGTTCATAAACACAAAATGTCTTGGTGATACTTAAATACACAATTACAATTTTGAAAATACTTCAATAGCAAAATACTTTAATAGCAATAAATTGTGCATTCTAATCTGCAAAAGTATGAACCATGCGACAGGTTTAACTGGGGAAGAACAAAGCCAAAATAGCAAGCTGCCAGTACTATATAAATAGATGACTTGCCTCAAAAGTTTTGACTTAACGTTCAGAAAGAGATAAAAATCAATCTTACCATTACTCTAGTTAAAGGTTTTAAGTATGAAATAGACACAATACTTAATACAATAAAATGTTATGACAATAAACCATTTAATACACTCATGGCTAGAACTTTGTTCTTTATATTTGCTTTTTTTCAATAACATCCTTTTAATTTCTCTTCCTACACACTTAAAAAACCAATTCAAACCTGGTTTGAAAAATAAAGCTATTTTTACTAAAAATAAACAATGACAAATTAAAAAAACTATTTCCTTTTGTTGCTTTCCTGCAACCAACAGCATGAGAAAGCTCCAACATGGTCATCACTGAAATATCACATTCTAAAGATGCAGCAGCAGTGGACAAAAGCATTGGTTTCCCTGCAGGACAGTCTCTAATTTAATTCCCTGTTTCCAGACCAACTAGTTGTAAATGTAAAGTGGAAACTCAGTGAAAACAGTATATATGCACAACACAGGAACACTGGGACACACATAATAATTTGCGTGCAGCAGACTGGTATTGTAATTAAGGTAGCAGTGGGCTGCAATTTCAATTCACCCTCATAGGAAATTAAGTGCTGATTTTCTAAATAATGCAGAACCTAAGATGTGAATAGTTAAAGCAGATACTACTTTACAGTTACTTTTTAAAATTAAAAAAATTGGAAACTCTTATTGGAACAAGCAGATCTACTAACATAAAATCAGCATTTTCAGATAACTTGAGACTGAAAATAATGCTCAGCTCTACCCCTAACACTGCACTGGGTGTTAGCCTGGCTCAGCTTGTAGCACTCTCGCCTCTGAAAAGATTGAATGCTTAAGCCCTGCATTGGTACTTTAAACTTATATAATCTACGCCGACACTGTAATGCAGTGCTGGGGAAGCACTGTCCTGTTGAAGGCAGTGTCCTTTGGGAAAAACTAGGATTACACTGCATTAGGGGTTAAATCAACAACCAGTGCTAGTAAATCAATATTTCTCTTAAGAAGCCATCCATTCCTAATCCTTGCTCACTAATACCCTTCCTTTGAATATGATTGACCAAATCTTCTTTGAATACTCCAATCAAAGTTGCTCTCAGCTGCTCCTGGCCAACCTTTTTTGGACAAGCATAACGTTTCCATGAAACTTTCCTGCTATTTGATAACGGAGTCCATGCACATGTAGAGATAACAATCGATCTTCACCATGTAATCTCAGTACCTGAACTTTAGCATCAGGACACTAATAACTCAACACGCAATAACTCAGTACCTGCACTTTAGCATCATTATGAAGTGTAAAAGAAAGTGGAAAACAGAAAAGTAGAAAACAGATTAATAAATAATTAGTAATAAGTAGATCATTATGATGGGAGAAAGAAAAGGTTTAACCTCTTCATGAAAAGCTGATGTGTGCCTTGGGAAAAGTGTAAGTTGCATTTTTTTTGCAGCAAGACAAACTTTGCTTTAATTAACTTTTATTTCTACAAAAATATAGTTCATTGCAACTCCAAATATAAACTAATGCTGATTATCCACATGTACCTGAATCTTGGTATCAGGACACTATCTTCCACACATAATCTCTTAACCTGAACTTTAACCACTCTCAACAGCTGAACCACAACATCAGAATGTTTATGTGTTTGCAGTTACAGTATAACTATACAGTGCTTCCACAGAATATACTTAAGGCGTTTTTGTGGCGGAAGGAGAAAGTTCAAAACTAATAAACTCGAATTCAAAGTGGTACATTCACTTTCTAGCAGTTACAGAAGAGTATTGCCTTTAACACCACTGTACAACTAAATACTCAAGCACTGTAAAAGCACAAGCAATGTAGAAGCAAATACATAACGTATTCATGATAAAGATGCAACAGAATATAAATGAAAACATTTGTCTTTGAGCTAAGATTGCTATGCAAGCTGATTCAACAACAACTTGCATTTAGATAGCGCCCTTTCTCGCCAGAAGGCGTCTTGGAGCGCTTAACAGGTGGAGCCTGATGCCGAGCTAGGGGAAGGGGGAAAAGGAAGGTCTTCGAGCGCAACCTGAAAATGGGGAGAGAGTGGACTAGGCAAAGGGGTTGAGGGAGAGAATTCCATAGCTTTGGGGTGGGGGGGCCGCCAATGGTGGGGCGGAGTGTCCGGGGGACAAGGAGGTAACCGGAGCCAGTCGAGCAGAGGCAGCGGGCAGTAATGTAGGGAGAGAGGTTGGAAAGATAGGGGTGGGAGGAGGTGCCAGAGTGTGAAGGGATTTAAATATAGAGAGAGGATCTTGAAATCGATCCATTCTGTGCCAGGGAGCCAATCGAGTTTGGCAAGGACTGAAGTAATGGAGGTGCAGAGTTTAGTGCAGGTGAGAATGCGGGCGGCGGAGTTTTAAATTATTGAATTTTGTGAATAGTGGAGCAGGGGAGACCAGCAAGGAGGGCATTTGAGTAATTGAAGCTATAGGTGACAGAGGCATGGACGAGGGTTTTGACAGCTTTTGCAGTGAGGTACAGACGGAGCTGGGCAATGTGGAGTAAGTGGAGGAAAGTGATCCTGGCTGGGACTGTATATTCAAACTAAACAATTTAATACTGGACTGCATGAACAAGCTGAAAAGAATAAACTACACTCAGTTAAGAACAAAAGTAGTGAGAATACAATACCTCTTGTCCATTAATTCCCGAAGCCCAAATTCACTATTTTCAATAAATATTTCAGAATATTATTAATAAGATTTTGACCAATAGAGTGATTTGCCATATGTGAAGCTGTTGCACACAAATTCACAGACAAGACATCAAAGTGTACCATTTGGTCAAGAAATTTAGTTGATGCACTGAAAGTTTATCAAAACTTATTTTAATAACAAAATCAAGAACCAGTCACTGCATTCTGCAATGCAATCAAACTGGTAAGAGGAAGTTTATAATAATAATAATCCTTGCATTTGATATTGCGCCTTATCACATCTTCGAGATGTCTCAAAGCGCTTCAAAGAATATACTGTAAAGTGAATTGTCTATATTTTGTGGGCAAAATACGGCAGCCAATTGCACACAGCAGTGTCCCACAAATAGTCATGGATTGGAGTCCTGTAGCTCAGTGGTTAGAGCACTCGCCTCGCAAGCGAGAAGACCTGGTTTGATTTCCTGGGCAGGGTGAAACGTTTGGCAAGTTTCCTTATTCCACACACCTTTATTACCTAGCAGTAAGTAGGAACCCGGTTGTTAGTCGATTGGCGGATCACTTTTTTTAAGAGCGAAAAATCCCTTCAAAAAATGTTTTAAAAAATGATTTGGTCACTTAATCCATGACTATTTGTGTTCCTAGTTTTGAATTAGGAAATTAATTTCTATCAGGCATAGATAGACTCCTTCCAGGGAATCCAAAAATTGCTTCAGCAAAATCAATCTTGATTTTGGTGATCCAGAGTAGTCAGATCATTGAACAACTTACTATCAACACTGATAAACCCCAACCCAAAATAATCAATACATACTAATACATTGCATGCCATGATTCAACCAAAACAGTCTATTACCATCGTAGATAACCTCTGGTAACCTTTCCGCCTGCCCAATATAATAATGAAGTTGGAGCAGTTCTAGGGTCATGATGAGCTAATAAAGTCCTCTTACCCTAAAACTGAGGATCAACACATGGAATTAAACAAGGCACTCAAAACATCAGATCTAAAATTAATTGGATGCAAAGTGATTACTATTGACTTCAGACAGAAATATACAGATCCAGAACTGATACAATTTTAAAAATTGCTTCTTTACACTGGCAGGTATTATTGCACATCTATATTAACCAGATATTTGGTAGTAAGAAAGAACAGGAAAATTAAAAATCAAGATAGTCCATAGCTACTATATTTAAAAAAAAACAAGTGGTTGGTACATCTTAGATCTTGGCTTTCAAACCACTCCTGAGCTCTTTATAGAAGTTGACTAATGAATTTGCCATGGCAGAGTCTACTACTGACTGTGGCAGCATTCCACGGAGATCAGACTGAATGAAACCAGTCAGGATACTACGTTCAGGGTTGCTCTTCAAGGGAATGCAAAACCATCCACATGGATGGTTAAATCCACGAACAAAATTGGATTGTTTTTCCTCAGACTCAACACTGATTCCTAGAAAAATAAGGGAACAAAATTGAACCTTTAATATAACTGCAAACTTTAAAGCACCAAAGCCCAAAATTAAACAAAATGTTCTGCCAAATTAAATGATTACACACACACATGATACTGTTGTTTTCACTAAATGACTATCCTCCGGGGGCAGGGGGCGGGGCAGATACCCATCTGACAAAAACTTTAGTGCTAAGGTGACTCTCTGTGTCAGTTTTGGTAGTCTGGTTCCTGAGCACTCCAAGGCACTGCTGATGGCGTTCTCTCTCACTGATAAGACTGGAGTGGAAGAATTCTTCTCACTCAGTTCCCATTAACCCTGCAAGCCAAAGACAAGATGGTAGAACAAGCAGCAGAAAGCTTGCTAAACAGTATTCCCAATGGCAAGCTACATGGTTTTAGCTTGGTAAATACCAGCAGCATCCCAACGCACACGCTTGGATCCATAAGTCTTGGCTCTCAACAACTTGTGCTTAATACTCTTTTAAATTAGGTAAACAGGGATTGCTCCTTCAAGGAGAGAGTGCACATTCCATTCCAGACAGAGAAATTTCCATGGGAAGGTGGCATTCTCTCAGTCAGCTTTGGATACTCTTAAGCATGGCAACAGACTTATATATGCCAGATACCCATCTGACAAAAACTTCACTAAATCAAAATAAAGTAAAAGGGCATTCGTTACAATCAGTTGTATGCCACTAGTTAGCACTCACAACTCCCTACATATCCAGTTACCAATTTCAGTTTGTGATCATAGGGATTCCGAGCAGCTAATTCTCCATGGGAGGGAAAGGAAACATTTTAAACTCAGTTACAAATACTCACCACAAGACAGCAGTCCATCCTTATAATCAGTGGTATAGGAGAAGTCGATGAACTCTCGTGGAGAAATGATATTCCAGAGCTGTCCAGCCGTCGTGTAATGCATCATACAGCAACCTTGCTGTGTAAACAATCAGAGTTTGGTATATAATTATTACCCATATAATAATCCGTGCAATTGATATAGCGCCTTATTTTTATTTTTTTCATGTAGGAGCAGGAATAGGCCATTTGGCCCTTCTAGCGTGCCCCACCATTCAATCATGGCTGATCTTCTAATCTAACTCCAGCTAATAACATAACCCCGTCTTATCCCCATATCCCTTAATCCCTTTTGCAATAAGAAATCTATCTATCTCAGTCTTGAATATGTTCAAGGACTGAGCATCAACAGCCCTTTGGGGTAGTGAGTTCCATACATTCACCACCCTTTGAGTGAAGAAGTTCTTCCTCAACTCAGTGCGAAAGGGCTGGGCTCTGATTTTAAGGTTGTGACCCCTGGTTTTAGTTTCTCCAACCAGGGGAAACAATCTCACACTATCTACTCTATCATGCCCTTTGATGATCTTATAGGTTTCTATAAGATCCCCTCTAATTCTTCTATATTCCAGAGAATATAGGCCCAAATTGGTCAGCCTATCCTCGTAACTCATCCCCTTCATCCCTGGTACTAACCTAGTAAATCTACGCTGCACCCCCTCCAAGGCAAGTCGTCCTTCCTTAAATGAGGAGACCAAAACTGCACACAGTATTCCAGGTGTGGTCTCACCAGGGCCCTATACAGTTGCAGCAAGACTTCCCTACTCTTATACTCTAATCCTTTCATAATGAATGCTAACATACCGTTCGCCTTCCTAATTGCTGCTGCCCCTGCAGACTAACCTTCTGTGATTGGTGTACAAGGACACCCAAGTCCCTCTGGACGCTAACACATTCTAATCTCTCCTCTTCTAAAAAATAACCCGCTCTACTATTTTTGCTACCGAGGTGGATGACTTTGCACTTCCCTACATTATACTTCATCTGCCACCCAATCACCTAACCTATCTATGTCTCGCTGTATTTTTTTTAATGTTATCCTCTGTGTTGGCACTTCCTCCTAGTTTTGTCATCTGCAAATTTAGATATATTAACTTCAATGTCCTCATCTAGATCGTTGATGTAGATGGTAAATAGCTGAGGCCCAAGGACTGATCCTTGTGGCACTCCACTAGTCACATCCCGCCAATCTGAAAAGGACCCGTTTATCCCTACTCTTTGTTTCTTACCCATTAACCATTCCCCAATCTACGTTAATATGCTCCCCCCAATTCCATGGGCCCTTATCTTTTTGACTAACCTTTTATGCGGCACCTTATCGAATGCTTTCTGGAAGTCCAAATAGACCACATCCACTGATTCACCCTTATCTAGTTTACTGGAAATGTCCTCAAAAAACTTTATGAGATTTGTCAAACATGACTTCCCTTTTGTAAAGCCATGTTGACTTGGCCAATTATATTGTGCTCCTCTAAATACTGCACTACCACATCCTTAATCAACAATTCTAATTTTTTTCCTATCACTGATGTGAGACTAACTGGCCTATAGTTCCCCATCTTTTCCTTTCCACCTTTTTTAAATAGTGGTGTGACATTTGCGATCTTCCAATCCATGGGGACTGTTCCAGAATCCAAGGAATTTTGGAAGATCAGACATAAGGCCTCCACTATCTCATAAGCTACCTCTTTTAAAACCCTGGGATGCAAGCCATCCGGACCAGGGGATTTGTCACTTTTTAGTGCTAACAGTTTCCCTAGCACCAATTCTCTACTAATGAAAATTTCCCTAAGTTGCTCCCTGTCCTTATCCCTTTGGTGCATCTCTATTGTTGGCAGACTTGTTGTGTCTTCTAGGGTGAAGACAGATGCAAAGTACCCATTTAGGGACTCTGCCATGTCCTTATCCCCCATTACAACTTCTCCCGTCTCTGACTGAAGTGGACCTACATTTACCCTCACTAGCCTATTCCTCTTAATATATTTGTAAAAACTTTTACAATCAGACTTAATGTTCCTAGCTACCTTACCCTCATACTCCTTTTTCTCACTCTTAATGAGGCTTTTAGTTTTATTTTGCTGGTTTCTAAAACTCTCCCAATCTTCAGATTTGCCGCTTTTCTTGGCAGTTTTATAAGCCTTTTCTTTTAATTTGATGCTTTCCCTAACTGCTAACTGCTCTAGTTAGCCACGGATGAATTGCTTTCCCTGTGGTACTCTTACTCCGCAAGGGAATATGCGACCGCTGAGAATTTTGCACTACATCCTTAAATATTTGCCACTGTTGGTCTACATTTTTATCTCTTAATCTTATTCTCCAGTCTATTTTACCTAAATCTTTCCTCATACCTACAAAATTAGCCCTATTTAAATTCAGAATACTTGCCTCGGATTTAACTATATCCCTTTCTAACTTAATGCAGAATTCATTCATATTGTGATCACTCTGCCCTTCAGGATTTTTAATACCTACACTGCCAACTAGCCCTATTTTGTTACACAAAACAAGTCTAGGATAGCCTGTCTCCTAGTTGGTTCCTCAGCATGCTGCTCTAGAAAGTTATCTCTCATACACTCAATGAACTCTTCTTCTGAACTACTTTTGCCGATTTGGTTTTCCCAATCTATGTGGAGATTGAAATCACCCACTATTATCGCTTTACCTTTCCTACATGCTCCACTGATTTCTTGATTGATACCCTGTGCTATATTGTGATCGCTGTTTGGGGGTCTATAAACCACTCCCATTAATATTTTCTGCCCTTTATTATTTTTTATTTCCACCCATATTGTCTCGACCTCCTGGTCATCGGATTTCAGATCCTTCCTCTCCACTGCTTTTATTTTATCCCTAATTAACAGGGCTACCCCCACCTCTTTTCCCACAGTGCCTATCTTTCCTGTAAACTGAGAACCCTGGAATATTTAACTCCCACCCTAGATCTCCTTGTAACCATGTTTCAGTGATGGCTACTAGATCGTACCCATATGTGTCTATCTGTGCTTTTAATTCATCAGTTTTATTCCGAATGCTTCGCGCATTCAGATATAACATTTTTAATTTCCTACCATTTCCTCTACTCTGATTCCTTATCTACTTTGCCAAGCTTCTTACCCCTAGTTAACATATTCCTATTATCTAGCATGCTATTCTGCACTGTCATCTTTACGTTTTCTAATGCTTATGGTTTCTCTTACCTATATATTCCCCCCCTTTACTAGTTTAAATTCCTATTTATTTCCCTGTTAATTCGTTTAGCTAGGACATTTGTCCCAGCACGATTTAAATGCAGCCCTTTTCTCCAAAAGAGCTCTCGTTTCCCCCAATATTCGTGCCAGTGGCCCATAAAAAGAAACCCCTGAGTTCCGCACCACTCTTTTAGCCATGCGTTCAAGCCCTTAATTTGTTTGTTCCTGTACCAATTGTCATATGGTACAGGCAGTAGTCCCGATATTACCACCTTCGATGATCTCAACTTCAATTTGGATCCCAGCTCTTCAAATTCCCTTCTCAAGGTATCTTGACCTACTCTACCGATGTCATTGGTACCTATGTGAAGTACCACCAACGGATCCTTGCCCTCATATTTTAAATTGTCCTCTAACTCTGCCGAGACATCCTGCACCCCGACCCCAGGGAGGTAACAAAGCCTTCTGGTCTTCTGATTGGTGTTGCAGATGATTGTGTCTGTCTGCCTAATAGTCTCATCCCCAATGACAACAACCATCCGCTCTTTTGCCCCAGTGTTTCCTTCCACCTCACCGGCTTCCTTGTCGATACAAGTTCCAAGGATCTCATATCTGTTGTTCATGGTTAATGCCAGATTTATTACCACTCTTTCCGTTGTACCCCTGACCTCTTGACTGTCCATTGACCTATCCTGATCATAATCAATATTGAGTGTATATTCCCTCAGGGGAGTGACTGTCTCCAGAATGTAGCTATCCAGGAAGCACTCACTGTCTTGGATACCCCGCAGTGTCTGCACCTCAGATTCCAGCTCAGCCACTTATCGCACCTTCAAAACATCTCAAAGCACTTCATAGAATATACTGTAAAATTAATTGACTATATTTTGTGAGTGAAAGGCTACATAGCAATGTCCCACAAACAGTCGTGGATTGAGAAACCAAATTATTATATAAAAGTAACTAAATATAAAAGTATATAAGAATCTGCCTTGTTTGAGTGATCTGTGGTTAACATGGAATTTTACATGAAATTGTAAAATTCACTTTCATTGCTTTCTTTTGTCCTCAACTGCAGGGACTTTTCTTCCTTAGCTTCTTCAGTTCTTTTGCTTCTCTCTATTCCTTCATAGCTCTCCCTCTCCATAAAACCCTTATCCTTTGATCTCCCACTCTTTTTCTATAAGAGTTTCCAATTGCTGCTGCAGATTTCACCATTGCTCTCTGGGCCCCTCAGATCACTGAAGTGCTGCTCCTCTATTCCAACTGAGGGATGAGCTCAGAGACAACCAATTACTCAACATGTTTATAGTGAGTCACAAAACAGCAGTATTTCACATATATATGTATATATAGTATTACGTGTTTCACTTCTATATAGTGTAATGGGCCTCTCGTGTTTGTCAGCCTCTAATCCTCCGTATTAACCTGGAGAAGTGGATGGGGGAAGGTTGTCCATAAAACTGTTGATCCAGTGCTACGTTCTGGCTCAAGGAAGAAAGATCCTGATACAGGATATAAAGAATCCCGAGCTGAAGACTGGCCAAGTGAATTTGGGAAGAACACGGTTGAGCACCCCCAGGTATGGTACAGGGCACCGGGTGCCTACACTCCTCCAAGAGACTGTTAGAGATAGTCTGGTTGGTCTAGCTGTTCAGGCTGTTGAGATTTTCCTGCTGTGTTAATAATCTGTGATGCTTGAATCATGACTGCCTCTAAGTTTCACTAGCTTGGGTGGTCTGTGTTACAGTACATCATTATAGAAATAGAATTGTGAACTATTAAGGTCTTTGGATGAGACATTAAACCCAGGTCTGGTCTGCCTGTTCAGGTGGACGTTAAAAGATCCTGTAACACTTTTCGAAAAGAGAAGGGAGTTTCTCCTGGTATCCTGACCAACAATCCACCAAATAAAATTGATCACTCATTTCATGGCTGTTTGTGGCGCATTGCTGTGCTGCCATGTTTGACTACAAAAAATAATAATTTAGTCACTCAATTCACAATTGTTTGTGGGACACTGCTGCGAACAATTGTCTTCCGCATTTCGCCCACAAAATATAGAGTCAATTCATTTTACAGTATATTCTATGAAGCGCTTTGACATGTCTCGAAAACGTGATAAAGAACTATATCAAATGCAAGGATTATTATTACAAATACACAGTCAATCCATTTCACAGTAATTCCTGTAAAGTGCTTTGAGACGACCTTCCAACATAATAAGGCACTATAGCAAATGTAAGGATTATTATTATTATCAAATGATATACATTTTGCCTATATGCACAACACAGATAATGTACACAACAAATTGTTCATTTATAGAACCACCTTACCTGTTGGAATTCCTCAACAATGTCCAAAGTGGTCATTAAACTATCCCATTGTAACCGGTGTGGGCCAGGACGAATGTAATCCACTATCCTGTTTGGAGTTTCCTTCACAATCCCTTGAGTTTTATATCTGAGAATTGTAAAACATATTGAAAACATATGTCGTCATGCTCTTTCTACATAAACAAGGTTGTTTTTTTCCGATACAGAAATACTGGTACTCAGTTCCTATGAGATCAGCTCTACCCTAGTCTTCTGGGAACTTGTTAAAGATCCTCATTTGGCATTTGCAATAACAGAGTCTGATATCATTTTCAATACATCTTATTCTGAAGTATTACAAATTATTTTATTTAACTAATCTCATCAGATGGCCCAACTGTTCCAAAATTCTCGCTTTGATTTTTCTGAAGTCCTATAAACACATTATGTTAACTCCTGGTCTGTATGAATCAACAACAACTTGCATTTATATAGCACTTTCCACGCTGGGCAGCAGCACAGACAGTTTAATCCATAGAAAAATCTACCATTTGTCTAGATTGTATGCTGAATTTCCTGATTACTTTTCATAATGTGGAGTCCTGTAGCTCAGTGGTTAGAGCACTCGCTTTGCAAGCGAGAGACCTGAGTTCAATTCCAGGCAGAGGGCGAAACCTTGGGCAAGTTTCCTTACTCCACACGCCTCATAATAATCCCTCCAAAACCAAAAACAATAATAAAAATTGGTCATTTTCAATCTACGACTGTTTGTGGGACATTGCTGTGCGCAATTGGCTGCCGCGTTCGCCCACAAATATACAGTCAATTCACTTTACAGTGTGTTCTGTGAAGCGCTTTGGGACGTCCTCCCGACGTGAAAAGCGCTATATCAAATGCAAGGATTATTATTATTATTATTATAATAACTATTCTTGTATTGCAACCTCAAGCGAAAAGATATTTGCTTAAACTTAATTTAGTTCCAACAATCATAAATAGTTTCAATTAACTTTTTTTTTTACAGAGCAAGTTAACAATCTTCATGATTTTAAACACAGGAATGTACAGAACCCTAAAAGACCTTCGCGATTTGCCTGGCCTGTCCCAAAGATTGAAACAAATAAATAGTGCTTCACTATTCTATTTCTCATAAACCTCAATTCTCTGTAGAGCTATCCAATTCCTTCTCACATTTGTTGACACAATCTAGTTTCACCAACTCCCTGGATTGTCTTTTCCACATATTCATCTCCATCAAGGAAACTAATCAAATCTGTTCATCCTCCTTTATCTGAGCTTGAATCAGTGTATCCCTGCTCTAGACTTATTGACCATGGTAAACATATACTTAGTATTACATTGATTTATGCCCTTTAGGACATAGTCCTTTGGTCATCACCCAAAATGAGTAACTAAAAACTGTGGTTGAGGAATGACAATTGGTTGGTATTCTGAAAGATATCAATCGGGCTGAACAGGCTTTTTTCTAATGACAGTTAGATTCCCTTTAAAGAAAAACATACCAGGATTAATGAGAAGGATGAGTGTTTTTGACAGAAATGCTAGTGAAATGGCTAGATAGTGCTTTACTGATAAACTGAAGTGAATCTTACTTTGATAAAAATAAGTTTTATGTTGAATCTTATATTAAATGCCCAATACATTGAACCGTTCTCTGTATCACATTTACAATGAATTCTGCTGCAACAATGTTCTTTGTGAGCACTTACAGAATTGACTGGTTAACAAGTCAGATTACAAATTGTAATAAAATTAAGTGTTCCATATAATACTTACAGAAATCCACCAAATTCTTCAGAAGGTTTTCTCCAAACAGTGACATCCACCTAAAAGGCAAGAAACAAAATATTTTCAATATAAAATGAACAAAATTCATTTGTTCATACAGTAGCATATTATTAAAGTTTCACCAAAAGATAGTTTTTCTGATTTTCACTAGAAGTTGCCAACCTAAATTAATTAAATCTGTATTCGCACAATAACACAATTTGAAAATCTAATTGCAATAAGCTGTGGGTTTGCCAGTTTATTCTAGGATGAAGATTCAGTAAGTAGTGCAACAGGTGTTGTCTAAGTATAAAACAAAATTATAATTTTTCAGTATAATTCTTCATCCATCATATTTTTTAAGTAGTCAAAATAAACTTAAACCCTCACTTTAAGTAGCTCAAAGCATGCATTTGAGGTTGAATAAGAATGTTGCAACCCCCATTTCATAAGTGATGCAAATAGCAAGGGCAGCTTCTTACTCATAGACTCATAAATGCTGATGGTACTGTACTTGCAAATGAGGTATAACATCAGGTCTATATTTATCCCATGCAAACTCATAGGAACATAGGAACAGGAGTAGTCCATGCAGCCCCTCGAGCCCATTACGCCATTCTATAAGACCATGGCTGATCTGTACCTCAACTCCAATTATCCGCCCTTGCCCCATATCCCTTGATACGCTTACCTAACAAATATCTATCCACCTCAGTCTTGAAAATTTTAATTGATCCAGGACCCATTCAATGCTGCAACCGGAAGATGGCATATTCTGAAAGGATGAGATCAAATGAGCCAAAAGGTTTTCTTCATTAATACTGCTCATGAGCTTTTGATTCAGCTATTTAATGTACAAGAGTAGTCTTGCAATGCTTCTTATTTCAGCAGTGGTGAATAATTAAATACTTCACTACCATTAGAAGCTGAAGGCCGTTTAAGAATGAATATACTACCACTACTACTGGGATTAATCAAGAATGACAATAAAAACAATCGCTGATACATAAAGATTCATATGAGATCTGATAATGTATAAGGGGCACTTACAGTTTTCTTTCCAATTCTCCATTCATCCTCCCCGATGTTGTAGTACTTAATAAGAGTACTTTCAAGTTCTGAAGCCAGAATTTGTGTATCAGGTAAATGTTCCATATTGAGTTTAAACTGCAACAATAGAAAACAGAGCAGATGTTTACTCCCTCCTCACTGTTTTAGGCTGAATTCATGAGATTAGCAAAATACGTTTTATCAACCAAAATACTTGTGAATTGATCTAGCATTACACACAGAGAAGTTCAGAGATGTTAAACATCCCAGAATGGTACTAGGTGATCAGCACCAGGAGAAAAGCACAAATAAAATATTGGGTGGGAGGGAAGTAGCGGGATTGCTCTGGGAGTACACTTCATGGGCTTCTTGTGCATCATATTTATGTTGTAACTATGTTGTTTTTAAAAGTCTAAATAAGGCCATAAATTTTTAATTTTATCTAACTGTTAAAATAATTCAGAGTTGATTACCATTTGAATAATGATGTTACATCTCATTGCTTATATTCTTTGGAAATAAGAATTGTGTCAAACAATTGAAAGGTGGAAAAAGTTTTTTAAAAAAGTGGAAAAAGAATAAACAGGTCAATTAGTCCAACCTCAGCTGTTAATAATCTGGAGTTTATAAACCAGAATGGAATTTGTGAACATATAAAAAGGCAAGTCCAAAAATAAATCTAAAATAAGGAAAAAGAGACCCGTGTTTGATTCCCAGCAGGGCGAACCTTTGGGCAAGTTTCCTTACTCCACCTGCCTCTGTTTACCTAGCAGTAAGTAGGAACCCGGTTGTTAGTCAATTGGCAGATCGCTTTACGGAGGTAATAATTCCTTCAAAAAAAAAATAGTCAATTTGTCAATCAATCCATGACACTGCTGTGCTCAATTAATTGCTGCATTTCGGTCTTGTTCCCCCCTACCTCTCCGACCTCCTAACCCCCTACCACCCTGTTCGTTCCCTCCGCTTAGTGGGATCCGGCCTGCTTCACATCTCCGCCTTACTTGACCACCATCAGCAGGCGGGCCTTCCGCCACTCTGCACCCACTCTCTGGAACTCCATCCCGCAATCCCTCCGCCTTACCCCCTCTCTTGCCACCTTCAAGACCCACCTCAAGACCCTCCTCTTCGACCATGCTTTTGATCTCCCTGCCTCCCCTCCTGACCTCCACCCTCCCCCACCCCAACCCTCAGCTCGGGTCCGTAACTCTGTTTGTTCAGCGCCTTGGGACGTGAAAGGTGCTATACAAATGTAACTATTTTGTTGTTGTTGCTACCATGCAGATCCCAGGATTTTGGTGCCTTTCCATTTGGGAATACCTGCTTAACTCAGTTTGTACAGCAGATGGACAAAAAGTCTTAAGGGTGATCTCTATAATAATAATAATCCTTGCATTTGATATAGCGCTTTTCACTTCTTCTCGACATCTCAAAGCGCTTCACAGAATAGACTGCAAAGTGCAAAGTGCACCTCAGGCGCTGACACCATCAGCATCCAAGGCTGCACTCTCCACCTCTCAAAGCCAGTCAGGAACCTCGGCGTTTTGTTCGACCCTGAGCTGTCCTTTCTCCCTCACATCCGCACCACAACTGGCACCGCCTTCCATCACCTCCGGAACATCGCCAGACTACGGCACTACCTCACCCCTCACGCTGCTGAAACCCTGGTTCACGCCTTTATCACCTCAAGGCTGGACTATGGGAACTCTCTCCTCGTCGGCCTTCCCGCCACCTCCCTCCACACTGCAGGTCATTCAGAACTCTGCAGCTCGTGTACTGTCCCGCACCAGGCTTCGGGACCACATCACTCCCACCCTCGCTCACCTCCACTGGCTCCCCATCCCCCAGAGGATTGATTTCAAGATCCTCATCCTCACCTACAAGGCCATTCACGGCCATGCTCCCTCCTACCTCTCCGACCTACTATCCCCCTATCTACCTGCCCGTACCCTCCGTTCCTCTGGCTCCGGTCTGCTCCACGTCCCCCGCCCCAACCGCCCTACCATCGGTGGTCGGGCCTTCAGCCTCTCAGCCCCGAGGCTCTGGAACTCCATCCCCCAGTGCCTTCGCCGCCTCCTCCCTTTCCTCCTTCAAGGCCGGTCTCAAAACCTTTCTCTTTGACCGAGCCTTCAGCTCCCCTCTCGACTCTCTTCCCCTCCTCGCTCCCTCCCTTCCCTCCCCTCACCCTGACCATTTCCCCCCTCCTCGCTCCCTCCCTTCCCTCCCCTCACCCTGACCATTTCCCCCTCCTCGCTCCCTCCCTTCCCTCCCCTCACCCTGACCATTTCTCCCCTGCTCGGGTCATGACCCAACTGTGCAGCGCCTTGGGACGTCCTCCTGACGTGAAAGGCGCTTTATAAATGGAATCTTGTTGTTGTTGTTGTTGAATTGACCATATATTTGTGGGCGAAACGCGGCAGCCAATTGCGCACAGCAGTGTCCCACAAACAGTCGTGGATTAAAAATGCCAATTTATTATTGTTTTGTTTTTTTGGAGGGATTATTATTAGGCGTGTGGAATAAGGAAACTTGCCCAAGGTTTCGCCCTGCCGGGAATTGAACCCAGGTGACTCGCTTGCAAGGCGAGTGCTCTAACCACTGAGAGACAGGACTCCATGTGGCCATAGCATGCTGCTTTTAGGGGAAAAAAATCTTCAAAGGGAGAAGGGTGTTCCCCCGTGGGGTCAAATGTTGATTGGATTCTCTCAATGTCCGAGTGGGCAAAATCTCAGACGTTGTGATAACCCTTCACGATAACAATTATTGTCATGACATACTACATTTTTCATCCCAAGGAGTGCTCTACATAAAGTGGCAACAAAGTGATTAGATGCCTAGGCTATGACTGAAAACAGTCACCCACAAAAAGGGATGAACTGATCGACTACCAGTTATTCTATTATAATAATCCTTGTATTTGATATAGTGCCTTATCACAACATTGAAACATCTCAAAGCGATTCACAATATATTCCATAAAATGTTGCCACTGTGCATTTTGCAGATCAAAATACAGTTAATAATAATAATCCTTACATTTAATATAGCACCTGATCACATCGTTGAGACATGTCAAAATGCTTCACATAATATACTCTAAAGTGGGCGAAACGTTGCGGACAAAATACACAGAAGATGAAAGGTTGAGGTAGTGTTAACAGGAAGACCTAAATAGGTCAGACAGGTGTGGAAGGAGGGGAAACATTTACTGAAGCTGAGCAAATTGAAGTTTACCACAACTGACAGAGACCAAACAGTCTATGCAACTAAACCACCCCCGAGTGCTCAGAAACATCAACCCACCTGTCGAGCACGAGGAGAGCAAAAGGTGGTTTAGAGTCGGTCAGTGTCTGTCGGTTGGCGAGGAGCAGAGGGAGAAAAGTGGCTGAGAACCACAACCTCATCCAACAAGTACCTCACTCAGTGCAGTGACTGAACCGCACAGAGCCAATGATTTACGAGGACAGGGCTCTCCTGTGCCGCTGGTCCCGGTCTTCCCACTGGTGCCGGTTACTCTCTCTCAGTGCAGGTTACCGGGTGCCGGTCTCTCTCTCTCTCTCTGGCAGTGCAGGTTACCGGGTGCCGGTCTCTCTCTCTGGCAGTGCAGGTTACCGGGTGCCGGTCTCTCTCTCTCTCTCTCTGGCAGTGCAGGTTACCGGGTGCCGGTCTCTCTCTCTCTGGCAGTGCAGGTTACCGGGTACCGGTCTCGCGCTATGTCCGTTACTCAGAATCTTTCCGCAAACATTTGAGTTGGCAGCTCGTGCGCGGGTGACGTCACTTGACCGACAGGCAGTCTGGGGCGGCACTCTGCCAATGACAGGTCACTGAACCAATCGAGCGCGGTGGAGGCGGGGCTTGGCGATCAGGCGATTGTGTGACAAGGCGGGGCTGGTGCTTCGTGCCATCTGACGTACGAGGACGTGGGCGGGATTAGGACCAGTGGTGAGGTCACGTGATCTTTGATTGACTGACCCTCCTGCGTGTGTCACAAGATTGGTTCTTGGGCCATCAGATCTCAACCCTCCAGTACAGCAACAACTTACTTTTATACAGCGCTCTCCACGCCGGGCGGCAGCTCAGAGCGCTTGACAATGGTGGAGCCCGAGGCCGAGTCTGGGGGAGGGGGAAGGTGACCGTAGGTGCGGTCAAAAAGGAAGGTCTTCAGGCACGACCTGAAGATGGGGAAGGAGGGGGCGAGGCGAAGGGGTTGAGGGAGGGAGTTCCAAAGTTTTGGGGTGTAGTGGCTGAACGCCCGGCTGCCGATGGTAGAGCAAAGGATTCGGGGGACGAGGAGGAGGCCGGACCCGGTAGAGCGGAGGCAGCGAGTAAAAAATAATAATCCTTGCATTTGATATAGCGCTTTTCACATCTTCGAGACGTCCCAAAGTGCTTCACAGAACACACTGTAAAGTGAATTGACTGTATATTTGTGGGCGAACGCGGCAGCCAATTGCGCACAGCAATATCCCACAAACAGTCATGGATTGAAAATGACCAATTTATTATTGTTTTGGGTTTTGGAGGGATTATTATTAGGTGTGTGGAGTAAGGAAACTTGCCCAAGGTTTCGCCCTCTGCCTGGAATTGAACTCAGGTCTCTCATTTGCAAAGTGAGTGCTCTAACCACTGAGCTACAGGACTCCACAAGTTCTCTACAGTACTGCTGTGGGGAAGGAGAAGGTTAGGTTATCGTGGATAGGGGGATGCCAAGGAATGGAGGGATTTAAACACTAGAGTGTTTAAATTGAAGTCGATCCGCTCTGTGACAGGGAGCCAGTGGAGTTTGGCAAGGACTGGAGTAATCGGTAATGAGTGATCAGCAATTGGGGAGTGAGGGGTTTGAGGCAGCAGGTGGTGGATTTCATTGTGGTTATCGTGGATGAGAGGGAGGAAGGAGAGATAGGGCCAAATGAATGTAGGGTGGGGGCCGTGATAGGAACTGAGGGCGGGGGTGGGTGAGGGAAACAGAATGGAGGTGGTGGTAGGTGACACGGGCCAGAGGGATGAAGCTACCAGGCAGAAGTTGCCAATTTTAGAGGTAAGAAAATCCATGACCTCTTTGCATTTGGCATTAGATGTGATGCTTGAGGGGGAGGTGGTGGTTGGTGGAGAATAGGATTTTGGAGTTATTGTTGGCCTCCAATATGACGTTTGAGTAGTGTGCAGTTTTTGCTTGTGACAGGGAGCGGCGGTAGGTGTGAAGATGCTCGAGCCACAGCTGCTGGCGAACCATGAGGCTGTTTTTCTGGCACCTGTGCTCGAGCAACCGGGTTTGGAACTTCAGGGAACGTAGATGGTTGTTGTACCAGGGGGAGCCGGTCATGAATTTCAGGGGGACGAGGGAGTTGAAGGTGGAGGAGAGGCGAGAATGGAGCAGCTGGAAGGCCAGAGGGATAGGAGGTCTGAGGGTGAGAGGGACTTGGGGGGAAGCCTTTTCCATGGGCGGAAAAGTATGGTTGAGGTCTTGATGGAGGGGAGAGCGATGCGAGAGGTGACAGAGATGAGGAAGTGGTCCAAGATGGCCTTGTCCGTGATGCACAGGCCATATGTGATGACAAGATGGAAGGGGTGGCCACGGTTTTGGGTCGGTGAGTTGATGTGGAGGGTGAGGTTTAGGGAGGAGAGGAGAGCAGTGAAATCTGAGAATGTGGCGCAAGGGGAGTTTAGGTGGAAGTTGAAGTCGCCCATTATGAGCAGACGGGGAGAGGAGCACAACGGTATCAAAGAGGAAGGAGCCAAGGGGTTTTGGGGGGCGGTAAACGAGGATCAATACTTTTAGTAGGAGATGACATAGGTTTAATGTTGTAAAGGGCAATTTCAGGACAGACACCAGGAAGTTTTTCTTTCAGAGAGTAATCAATGACTGGAACAGGTTGCCAATACCCCCACTATACCCCCCCACCATCACTGTATCAAGCTGCTTTTTAAATCAGTCCAGTGTCCTGGCCTCTACAACTACAACAATAACTTATGTTTATACAGCGCCCCTCACACTGGGTACTGGCGGAGCATGACACTGAGCCGAGGGGAGGGGGGGGTGACCGTAGGCACGGTCGAATAGGAATGTCTTCATGTGCGACCTGAAGATGGGAAAGGAAGGGGCAAGGTGGAGGGATAAAGGAAGAGCGTTCCCGAATTTCCAAACCAAACTGAGAGTTCAATTCATCCCTCCTAGATTTGGAAATTCCCGTCAAGTAAATTCTATTTACAAAGATAGGAATAGGGCAAGGCCATTTAATACCATTTCCTTGCCCTACCGTAACCCAACAGTTAGCATCCAAAATGAGATAATGCATTATAAAGTATCTGACTTATGTATCTCCCTTTTAAGCAACCCAATTGATTCTCCTTCTACACTTTCTGGACTAGTGCATTCCATATTTTCACAATCCTTTCAATAAAGAAATGTTTTCTAACCATCCTGACTGTCATTTTAAAATTTACTTCTCTCCCCCCCTCCACACTGTTCTCTTTTCGAATAGTGCCATAGAATCTTTAAAATCAACCTGAACAGGGAGACGGACCTCATGTTTTAACATCTCATCCAAAGGATAGCACCTTTGACAATGTAATAGTCCTCCAGCACTGCACTGGAGGGTCAACCTAGACTGATTCAAAGTCCTCCTAATGTGGGGCTTGAACCCACAACTTTCTAACGCAGAGACAACCAACTGAGCAAGTCTGACACCTTGCCAATTTGAACCAGCAAGCTACGAGCCTATAAGGTAGAGCTCTATCCACTACACATTCGGGGCTTCCCGAACACTGTAGTTTTAATGAGGATTCCTAAGGGAAAAGAGAACAACTCACATAGATCAGATTGCATCATTTAGAAACAAATTGCAGCTCCACTAAGGAGGGTGTAAAGCACAATGGTTTGCCATGTTTATTACCAAACCCAAAATTAACAATTTGTTGAGGGCATCTATCCATTGAAAGATACTAGTGGTGCAATGAAGATGGGAGAGCTGAGCTGGGATAACATTATTCTGGTACCACACCCACCACAGGAAATTCTTTTGTGTGTATTATGATTTATGAGCTATAATTATCAGGGTGTTTGTTTTTTATACAAGGGTGGCTAGAGGACCCACCTGGTCTCTCAACTGAGCCCTGCCCAATTATGCAATGTTAGCCAATTGTGCAATGTCAGTCTGCAATGGCAGGTATTCCCAGTCTGCACAGTGAAATGGACATTTCTATTAACCTGCTTCACCTTCAGCAGGTGTATATCTAAATCCCTTTGGGATGTTGGAAGGGAGAGAATTGAAAGGCCTACATTTGTCTAGTGTGGATGATATGGTCATCACCTTTACCTTTAAAAGCCCTATTACCTCCTTATTTCTGTGACCTTCTCCAACCCCAGCCTCCTCTTCTCCATCACCAACCAGCTCCTCCGCCCACCCTCTCCTGCCTCGCCCATCCTCTCCTCCAACGCCAACTGCAAGGAGATGCTGGATTTACTCAAAACCAAAGTCGAGGGGATCCGCTCAGCTGCCTCTGCCCTTCCATCTACTACCCCCTCCCCATCTCCCCTTCACACCTTACCCATCCCTCCTGGGACAAACCTGTCTCTCCCTCCTCTCTCACCACCATTATAACCTACATGAAACCAACCACCTGCTCCCTCGACACCATCCCTAGCCCTCACCTTAATTCCCAGCTCCACCTCCTTGCCGCCCTACTTGCAGACATCATAACATTGCCTGTCCACAGACATTGTTCCCACCCCTTTAAAAACAGCCTTCGTTACTCCTATCCTTAAAAAACCCTCCCTGGACCCATCCCTGCTCTCAAACCTCCCTTTCCTTTCCAAGGTCTTGGAACAAGTTGTTGGTTCCTAGCTTCTCTCCTTCCTCTCCCACCACTCCCTTCATGAACCCCTCCAATCGGGTTTCCATGCCTCCCACAGCACAGAAACAGCCCTGGTCAAAGTAACAAATGACATTTTGTCCATTTGTAGCCAGAGCTCCATCTGCCTCCACATCCTCCTTGACCTTTCTGCTGCCTTCAATACCGTTGACCACTCTATCCTCTTCTACTGCCTCTCCTCTCACCTCAACCTTCATGGTTCTGTCCTTGAATGGTTCAGATCTTACCTGTCACACTGGCTCCACTTCATCTCCACAAACGACTTTTCCTCTAGCCCCCGCACCGTCTCGTGTGGCATTCCTCAGGGCTCTGTCCTCAGTCTCTTACTCTTCAATATCTACATGCTCCCTCTTGGTCAACTTCCACATGTTTGCGGATGACACCTAACTCTACCTCTCTGCCTCCACCCTTGACTCCAGGACCACTGCTGTGCTGACAGAATCTCTGTCAGACATCGTCCTGGATGAAAGCTAACTTTCTACAACAACAACAAGATTCCATTTATAGAGCGCCTTTCACGTCGGGAGGACGTCCCAAGGCGCTGTACAGTTGGGTCAGGACCCGAGCAGGGGGGAAATGGTCAGGGTGAGGGGAGGGAATGGAGGGAGCGAGGAGGGGGTAGAGAGTCGAGAGGGGAGCTGAAGGCTCGGTCAAAGAGAAAGGTCTTGAGACCGGCCTTGAAGGAG